CCGCATTGTGCCAGGAGCTGTACATGCATGCAGGGAGGGGTGGTTTTATAGAGGGGCACTGAGATACAGAGAGATTGAGGGCAGATTTTCCAGAGGTCACTCCCAGTGCACACATCTGTGTTACTGCGGGGTTTGGGCCATAAGCTGTGAGGGTCCTGTGCTAACATGGACACCGGGAGAGCTGGCGAGGGCCCTTTCCAGGCCCTTTGCTGAGCCCATGCTAGTTAGGGGAACCCTTTGCCTTTCTCTCTAAGCTCTGGAGTTGAAGCTTGCCTGCTGCTGCCCTGCGTCCTGGCTCTGCTGTGCTCCTCCTCTTTGCTGGTGATTACCCAGAAGCCAATGCACCCCTCGTGGCGTTGTGTGGGGAGATCAGGCAGAGAGAGGCCACGAACCAACGAGCCACGTGGCCTTCCCCTGGAATCCTCCGCCACCGCTACCACGATGAGGGGAGACAAAGGGGTGGCTGAAGTGTGTGCGTGCAGAGTGTGTTTGCAGCTACTAGAGATCTTCACATGAGCCAGGAAGCCTCAGCCCTGAGAGCAGAATGTGCACCTGGCCTGTGCTTCCCCTCTTTACGGGGGTGCTTCCGCCTCCCTGGACCGCCTCTGCAGGCCACCCAGCTCTCTCCTGGTCTCTAGGAGAGGAGGAGACTTTACACTGCTTAAAATACCAGTGGCAACTCTTCACGTTCCCCCAGGCAAGCCGCAGAGCTTAGCCCCGTGTTCTGGGCTGTCAGCCCAGGACTGAGCTCCCTGCGGGCGGAGGGCTCCCTGCACACACCAGTGCCAGCAGCAGAAGCGGGCTCTGGCACACGCAGGCCTGGCAGTCACTCCTTCAGTAGGGGGGCCTGGTGGAAACATTCTGCCTCAAGATTGCTCTCTTCTCCCGTGGCTGTGACTCCTTCCCCCTCTGTTGCACCAGTCCTGGCCTCCCCCATTGACAGTGCTGTGTGGTGGCTGTCTGCTGTGCCTGTACCCACCGGGCTGTGGCATGGCGGGCCTTGCCCTGAGGCAGTCTCTGACCCTGCAGAGGAGCTGGGAAGCAATGGGTGGGCGGGTGCCAGGCATTCCCGTGCTGTGGAGCTCTCTGCACCGCTGGCAGGAACACGGGCTTTGCATGGGAGAGGACTTTGGCTCCGTGCTGGCGTGCCTGGGGGGCGGGCCAGGCTGGGAGCCGCGCGCTGAAGATTTTCATGCGAAGGAATGCTGAGCTCCGGGCAAAGGCATCTGCTCAGCACTGGGCCCAGCACAAGGTAGGCTGTTGAATTCACTGAGATAAGGGACCCAGGATTTTATTAAGAGGCATGGCCTCAGTAATGAGGCTGCGGCGAGCGGGCTGCTGCTGTGCGTAGGTCCCAAACTGTAACCGTGATTCTAAGACCCCAAAACTCTTGGTAACTTACTCTTGGCGAGGCGGTGCAGGAAATAACTCCATGGAGACACGGCTGTCCGAGCGCTAGGTGGCTGGCACAAACCGCACAGTGCAAGAGCGCTTTCACTTTATTTAGTCTCAATCACTTCCACACATCCACAACCGGTTCGTAAAACACCCCAAAATCAATAATTACCGAAGTCTGGAGCTGGCTTCGAGTGGTACAAAGACAGCAGGCCAATTGGCCAGTCTTCCTGCCTGCCGTTGAGTACCCTACGGTGTGCCCACGAAGTGCTCCCGCTGCGTCCACCGGCCCCATACTTTCTCTCCTTGTTTGTTTGGCTTAGTGTAACTATAACATGTCAGTAAAAAAATCTGTTAAACAGTTTCAAAGTTTAAACAAGAGGTTTCCTCAAACCATTAGTTAGATGTGTTTTTGAAGAGTCCGCATGTCTTAAGGGCCCTGAGGAACGCATCCCAAAGGGCAGATACAGATAATCTTCCTGTTTTTCTAAATCACATGCATCAGCAATTTCACCAGAGCTCTTACCACGAAGGACAGTGGGTCACCCCCCTGCTTGGCTGCTTGCTCAGCTATGCTAAGGCTGTTGCAGAGGCCTGCTAAACGCTATTGATTTAGCTGTTTTTGGCAATAAGGATGCTAACCGATATTCCAGTCATTGGTAGTGGTCCCGGCATTTTGATAGTCTGCCAAGATCTCCCTGTACGAAAGGACACGGTTTTGATTGTGTTACCCGTTTTCCCACTGGCTCCAGCAGAAGCTCTGAGAGTCAGTGTTTGCCCCTGGCTTTCACAGACAGGCCGTGCTGGAATTAACCTGCTGCTCCCCCGCACATTGCGTGGTGCTGGCTGGTCGTCTCCATTTGAAAGGGATCCCACTGCACTCAGTGTGTAGCCTGATCAGTAGAGGGGTGTTACTGGGTGCAAGGTCATCCAGAAGTGCAGCCTAAGCCCTTCCCCAGCTCCCCACTTGTGCCCTGCATCATGTACTTCTATCAACTGAAAGAGGCTCGTGAACGTGCCTGCCTGGTGGGGGGCGGCTTCAGATTCAGGCTGACCACAGGCCCTCCCGCCTACTTCCACCTGAACTGGGGAATGTTTGATGGGGAGCAGGGCCTGAGTCATCCCCCCTTTGGATCAGGGCCTGAATCATCCCCCGTTTGGATGTGCCCTGGTGTAGGGAGTGGAGATGCTTCTGTGGCAAAGTGCAGTGTGAGCTGGCTATGGGACAACGGGTTCCTGTGACACACTCTACCTTGGGGGAGGGCCCTGTGACCCTCCATATTTCTCATTTATATATAATGGTGATCTTGCATATGAAGCATGCCATGTAAGACATCGGGGAAAGGTTATGAGTTGCTGAAAGTCACTGTTCTATCTAAATATGTACATCATTAGAGCATATGAAGTTATGAGATTGTGTAGTATGGTTGTCAGTAAAATGTGGAGTAAGTTGCGGAATCGGCCAGATATTATCTCCCTAGAGACAACAGCAAGGAAAGTAACCAATGTCTGGGCAGGTGACAAATAACCATCAACCATTGTTCAGCATGGGAGCTACAGTTCAATGACTCACCAGCATAAGGCCACACCAGGGGTATTGTTCAACCTTGCCTGGGGACTCAGCAATGCCCCCAGACATGCCTGGACTTGAATTCTCCAAGCACATGGACTAAGGGTATAAAACAGAACATAGGGGACCCATGCTTGGCCTTTTCTTCTCCCCGCACTTATGCTGCAAGCAACAAGGACACCGAGAAGACTGAAGACTCCAACAGAAGATACTGGCCCAGGTTTCAAGGGTGAAATCAGTGTACTTTGAACTGCACTATCCAGTGGGGTGAGAAAAGCTGCTTAATTTAGATGTTGCCCAGTCTAATAGGGTGGAGAGTTTAGACTGCGTGTTTATATTTTCTTTAGGTAAGCACTCTGACTTTTTGCCTATCACTTATACTCACTTAACATCTATCTTTTATCGTTAATAAACTTGTTTTACTGTTTATCTTTACCAGTGAGTTTGCCTGCAGTGGCTGGTAAATCTGCTAAGGTTTGGAAAGGCTGGTGTGTATCCACTCTCCATTGATGAAGTAGTGAACCAATTAATAAACTTGCAGTGCACGTTGGTATATTCCTGAGGTACAAGGCTGGGAGATAGGGCGATTTGGCTGGTGCCTTTCTCTGGGTGATTCATGAGTGGCTGTGGGAGCATTCATGCAATCTATACTCCTGGGGGAATTCTGCGCCACTGTGCATGCCCAGAATTTATGTCCCCTGCAGACTTTCTAATGGGGAAGCAAAGGGAAGCCACAAGAGCAGTCATGCGACCCTCCCCAGCAGTATGTTTCGGGTGCCCAGAGCAGCCTGCAGAGAGGTAAATCACTGTGGGGCAGGAGGCGGGACAGGGGAAGGCCCGGCTGGTGGCTCCTAGCCTGAACCGGGCTCAGCTGTTTGGCCTGGCTGGAGCTGGGGAGGATGGGACTTCCTTTTCTCCTGCACAGCATCCAGGGCCAGGTCAGACCCACCCCCAGATTTCTCCCTGGCTGCAGGAGCAGGAAGCTCTGCAAACTCCGCCACCTACCCCCGCTTCCTGCAGCTATCGCTGCTCAGCTGCAGGGGGAGGGATCCCTGTACGGGGAGCTGCTCCACCATCCACCCAACCCTCGTGCATCCAGACCCTCCTGCTGAGCCCCCTCCCCCCCGATGAGCCCCACTCCCCCTGCACCTGGATCCCCACTCACCCAGCATCTGGACCCCCCCTTAAACCCCCAACACCCAGACCCCCTGCTAAGCTATATCCCCCCCACACCCAGACCCACCCCCCCGCTGAGCCCCAACCACCTTCACCTGGGCCCTCCTGCAGAGTCCCATTACCGTTGCATGCAGAACCCGCCAAGAAGCCCCTGTGCATCTCGATTCCCCCTGCACCCAGATCCTCGCCTGGCAGAGTTCTTGGCTGCTGTGCTGGAAGCCCTGGCTGGGTGATGAGGAATTTGGGGTGTTTCTGACTCCCAACAGTTTGCTGAAGTGCCCAGCCCTCAGGGCTCCAGAGCAGACCGGCTTCCAAAGCTCAGCTCGTGCAGTCCTGTTGCTAGAGCAGTGGTGCCCAAACTTTTCCTCTCGCGCCCCCCGACCTGTAATAGAATGTGTCTGTGCCCCCACCCCAGGCCCGGCGCGGAGTCCTGGTGGCCGGGGCTGAGGGCCAGGAGCAAAGCTGGGACTCCTGCTCTGGCTGGGGTTTGGGGCCAGGGGTGGGGTCGGGGCAGAGCTGGGCCTCCCTCCCTGCCCCTTTGGGGGGGGCTGGCCCGGGCCCTGCCATGCCCCCCTGGATGTTCTTCCGTGCCCCCACAGAGTTTGGGGACCACTGAGCTAGAGCACTGCAGTGCAGAGCTGTGATGTGTGGGGGGGCTAAAACGAGGTGCCAGGATCCGTATTCAGGCGTCCGGGGTCAGCCTGGTCCCAGCCCCCCAGTTAGAAGGTGGAGCCGCCACCAGCCTGCCCCACGTCCTAGCGTACCTGGCTCTGCAGCCTTCCCGTGGCGACGTGGATGTGAGCGTTGGGGCCCAGAGCGTGCCCGTGTCCTGCTCTCACTGGTTTGCGTTGCCTTGCAGGTGACCAACGAGATCACTCCCGTCCTGTCCTACTCCTACATGGCCGTCCTGGTGCCCATCTTCCTGCTGACGGATTACCTGCGCTACAAGCCGGTGCTGGTGCTTCAGAGCCTGAGCCACATCTCCATCTGGCTGCTGCTGCTCTTCGGCGCCGGTATCCTGGCCATGCAGTTCATGGAGTTCTTCTACGGCATCACCATGGCGGCCCGCGTGGCCTACTCCTCCTACATCTTCTCCCTGGTCTCCCCCTCGCAGTACCAGCGCATGGCCAGCTACTCCCGCGCCGCCGTGCTGATGGGGGTCTTCACCAGCTCCGTGCTGGGGCAGCTCTGCGTCACCGTGGGCGGGGTGCCCTTCATGACGCTCAACTATGTCTCGCTGGGGTTCATGCTCTTTGGGCTCATCCTGACGCTCTTCCTGGAGCAGCCTAAGCGAAGCCTCTTCTTCAACCGGAGTGACGGCCCCTCGCCCTCGGAGCTGGACAGGATGCAACCCGTCGGGGGCAAGCCAGTGCCCCCCGCGCCCTCCCGCTGGCGCAGCTCAGCCCTCTTCCGTATGCTGAGGGAGCTCGGCACCATCGCCAAGCTGCCCCAGCTGCGGCTCTGGTCCCTCTGGTGGATCTTCAACTCTGCCGGCTACTATCTCATGCTCTATTACGTGCAGCTCCTGTGGAATGAGATTTACCCTACCACGGACAACAGGAAGGTCTACAACGGCGGGGTGGACGCTGCCTCAACGCTGCTCGGTACACGGCCCTGTCTGCCTCTGGGGGTCCCCCTCTCTCCCCTGCAGTGCGTGGTGTCCAAAGGGGTCTCGGGGGCTCTTGTAGTGCTACCCGGCAGGGGGACAGAGGGAGGGGCTCTGGAGGCCAAGGGGATTACGAGGCACGAGCCCCACTCTCGGCATGTTCTGAGCCAGGCACTCATTCCCCAGGAACGCGCCGCATGTGACCTCGCTGAGCTTTCTGAAACAAAAGCTGCTCGGCCCAGGGGATTAGCTCCCAGCTGGATGCGAGTCGCTGCTCACAGCCTGCCTCCCTCACACTGCGTGTCCCAGCCCGGCATGTTTCTGTGCCAGGCAGGCCCCTGCTGGAATGGGAGCGGGCGGGGTCTAGGAGTCCCTGCCAGGCAAAGGTCTTCTCTGCAGCACAGAGCGTCCCATGACTTAGCGGATGAGATGCCAACCCCTGTGTGTATGCTCCGATTTAGGTTTAAGAGCCATTTAAACTTGTCTCTAATTGACGTAAACTAGACCCCAAATTGGTTTAACCCCAAATCAGCATCCACACAAGGGGTTTGCTCCCATTTAACTAAACCAGTTTGTTGTCTCTCCGGTTGTCATGGGTGCAGCTTGCCCATGTAGCCACGGGCTGAGTGCAGGAGCCCGGCAGACAATCTGCCCCCAGACTGGAGAGCTTCGCCTCCATTTTCATGAGCACTAAGCTCACGATTTAATCTGGCAGCACGGAGGCTGTCTGAGCTGTTGCACTCAGCCGAAGCATGCATGGCATAGCAGCCTGCGGAGGGCACGCCCCGAGTCAGTCCCACAGTTCCAGCTGTAGCCAGAGCTCTGGGGCTGTACCGCGTTGGTTCTGGAGGGTGCCGTGGTAAAGCTGGGCCTGTCCATGCAGCAGCAGGTTGGGAAAACACTTAGCCAGGGGGCATCCCTAGCCACTGAACCTCCTCCCAGGGACTCTCTGAGTCAAAACTCCTGGGTATGCAACAGCTCATGCCTGTTAACCTCATGGCACGTGGGCCATGCTCCTCATGGGACCCATCTGGACTCCGCAGGCAGCTGAGGTGGCTGTGTGCTGCTCCCGAGGGGCATCCCGGGTTGTGAGACACCTCGCCACCACCTGCCCTGAGCAGGAAGCCGTCTTGTCTGTGCCTGCTTAGCTCTGTTCCCTGACACCAGCAGCCTCTGGACCCACAAGCACTGACTTCCCGGTCTCTGCAGACTCGCCCCCCCGGTGCAGGCTAGTGACAGACACACAGCAAGCCCCGAGTCCTTGGCGCAGCCCCTGTCACTGCCATGCTCAGAAGTGACCAGGTAAGCTGTTCCCGGAGAGACAGCGTGCACCCAGCTTGACTGGCACCGCTCAGGGTCAGGCCTTCAGAACAACTCGGCACAGAGAGCTGGTCAGAGTGACAACAAACAGAAGTTTATTTACGAAGGTTAAAATTTAAGAGCACCGGTAATAAGAACACCAGGTGACGTGTAAAACAAAGGGGATAACGCTTCTTAGAGTCTCAACTGAACTCTGCCAGGCTAAAGTCCTTGTCTACAGCACCTTCTGCCCCCGAACAACCGCCCCACAGCACAAGCCCACATGGCCCGCTAGTGTCCTCGGTGAACGATGAGCCAGGGGTCTGAGCCCCTTCTGAAGTGCAGCCCCTCGTAAGGCTCTTCTCCCCCATTGCTTGTCCTCGGGTGAGCTCCCCCTTGCTTTCCCGTCAGCCTGCTTTTCCTGTTCACTTCACATGCCAGTGGGGCTTGCATCGTCGCTGTCCATCAGGGAGAGGGGACTAGCCAGGCATGTGTCGGGCACAAGCCCGGGTTGTCCACACGGCTTTGGGACAAACTTTAAAACATGATTTCAGCACATCCGCATACTTCCTTTGCTAGTGACAGTACATGCATTTCACAATGGCATTAGCCAGCAGTGTGTCAGCACTTGGGCCCTCACAGGACGCTCTGTGGATCAGTCCTTGGAGCGCAGTGTGTTGGGTGCAGTGAGTTTGTCGGTCCGGGAGGAGTTGTTGGCAGAGAAGTGAGTCCTTTGCCGTTTTGCATCGAGGGCTGGCTGAAGGGAGGTGACAGAGAGCGGTGATGGCTGCATGGCAGGCCGCAAGCGCTTAGCGCGGCCCCCCAGACTCCACGCTCACAGCCGCACTGGTGCCTGCCAAGTGAGTGTGTCCCACGGGAAAGGCAGAGCCAGGGCTGTGCTGGACGCGGCAGGGCTGGGAGGGCAGTGCCATGGCAGAGTGACCGTGAATGCCCTGGGCCTGCTGCTCATTCTCTGGGACAGACGGGCAGGTGAGCGCTGTGCTTACAGGGGCCCAGCTACATGCATCTGTTCTTTGCGTGCTGCCATCTCCGTGTGGCCCCGGGTTACTTCCTGTCACCGCGGGACCAAGTGCAGCCAGGCAGGCTCCTGCCCCAGGCACGGGCCTACCCTGCGGGCAGGCTGCAGTCACTGACACCTTGTCTCCCCAGGTGCCATCACCGCCTTCTCTGCGGGCTACGTGAAGATCCGCTGGGCCCTGTGGTCGGAGCTGGTGATTGGCAGCGTGACGGCCTTCCAGGCGGGGCTGCTCTTGCTGATGAGCACCACCAGCAACATCTGGCTCTGCTACGGGGCCTACATCCTGTTCAGGGGCTCCTACCAGTTCCTGGTGCCTATAGCCATGTGAGTTGGGGGGGTCTCGCTCTGCTGGGTCCCCCACTAGTAACACGGACACAGGTGTATAGTCCTGGCTGCAGCTGGATGCCGGGTCTGCCACCCCCCCGGCAGGCGCGCTGGTATCAGAGTGCAAAGAACGCGGGCTGCGGCGAGGGGCTGGTGGCTGGCCCTGAGCTGCGCCTGGGGGCTGGGCTCCCAGCAGAGGGACAGGGCCAGTGCAGCTGGGGCTTTCCGGTGGGGCCCCTCAGCCCACATCCAGAGAGGCCTGCTGACCCTTGCTCTCCAGGTTGGTGGCACAGGGGGTTCGTGTGAGTTGTAGGTGGGACCGTTTCCAGTGATGTACCTCCCAAGCCCCTGGCCCTTGACTGGTCCAGGCCTGGGCTGGTGCAGGTCACGGCCGTGCTGGCAGTGCCATGGAGGCAGCTCGCATGGCACCGGCCTTCTCCAGCCCCTTACGGGCGTGGGCACAACGGCACCACTCCCTGCAGCCCAAAGCACACTGGAACCGGAGGCCTGCAGGAGTCCCGGGCCCGCAGCACCCCCAAGCACAGCCTCTAGGGCTTAGATGGGCTCGAGCTGCCCTGGTGCGGAGGGGGCAGGTCTGCCTCCCTGAAGGCTGAAGCAGCGCAGAGAAGCCCACTGGGCCACGGGCACTGCGCAGTTAGAAGCAGTGCCAGGCTCTGCCAGCCTAGGGCAGGAGGTGGGCATGCCAGGAACTCCACGTGGCGTATTTCCTGTGGGATTTTGGGAGGTGCTGAGTGAGCACAACCTCTCAGACCCAGGGCGCCTTGAGTGCTCCCGTAACTAGGCGCTAGGTAACGCCTACCCTGTGCCTCTCATAGAGATCCCAGCTGGGTCGCACAGGCCCTAGCCAGGAGCTCCCACCCCTGCCCTATGAACAGACGGACGTGTCACATGCACATGGGGACGGATCCCCTCGGCCGGGCCAGGCAGGGCGCTCGTGGCACTGGGTGAGGAGCTGGCCGTACGTTCGCCGCCAGACACAGACGCCCTGTCGGTATTTGTACGGTCGTGGCTTTGCCTTGCCCCGCTGAGTGATTGCTTTCTCCTCACTTTGATGGCAGTTTCCAGATTGCCACCTCCCTCTCCAAAGAGCTCTGTGCCCTGGTGTTTGGCGTGAACACCTTCTTTGCCACCGTCCTGAAGACCATCATAACCATGATCATATCAGACAAGCGGGGCCTGGGCCTTTCGGTGCATCCGCAGGTAAGGGGGCTGCTCAGCTTCCCCTGGGGAGCCGCGCAGGAGGCCGAGCAGGTCGGGTTGCCCCAGGCAGAGAAGCCAATGGACGGGCTGGTTGGTAGCTGGGCAGGATAAGGGAACCCCGTGACCACTGCTCCCTCTAAGCTGTGCGCACGTGCGTACACACAGACCCCGAACCCCGTGCACACGGCACGCACAATTTGCACAGAAGACATTTTTTGCGCACACGGCCTGTGAAAAATTAGAGGGAACTTTGCCCCCAACAGCCATGAAAGTAGCCCCATGGCGGGCAGGGCAGGGGTGTGACTGGCGATGGGTATTGCTCGCCTGGTTTGCCATCTGGCTCTGCCCTGGCTGGTTACTGCGTCTGTCCGAGACCCGTGTCATGTTTAAACCCCTTTTGCACTTGAGCGGGCCCCTGCCGGATGGCGCTGCAGGCCAAGTTAGCTCATGACAACGTGTGGGCCCCCAGCCTGGCTTCCTCCCTGCCCCTTCCCCATTGTTAGGGAAGCACCTGCTACAACCTCAGCTGCAACCAACTCCCCCCCGTGTGCATTCCCGGCTGACGTACCTGTGCGGCATTGAGTCAGCCGAAGAGGGTTAACTTCACCACGTGCCCCATTTTTAAAGAGCCCTAGAGCCCCAGCAAAGCCTTGGAAAGTGCCCTCAGCCCACTGTGCGCGGGGACCAGTGCCCTGGCTGGCTTGGACAGGGAGTGGTTCATGCTTTGCCCGGGGAGCCAGGTCTGTGCTTCTCTGCTGCTCACTTTCCCAAATGGGAGCTGAGCCCGAGGGCTGCCGAGTTCCCCAAGCCCTGGGAAGTGAACACGTGCTTAGGAGCAACTCACTGGGGAAAAAGGCTGATGGAAAAATAGGGCACCCTTCCAAGGAGGTTGGTGGGTGGACGGGGCAGAGTTAAGGTTGTTTGGGCCAATTTAATAGCGTTCCTGTCATAGAGCCACCACTCACCTGGAGCACCCTCTTGTGACAGGCCATGGCATGACTAGTGTGCCTGCCTCAGTTTCCTTCTCAGGTAACCCAAGGACTCTACACTAGGCTCTCTTGCCTTGGTAGTACCCCTCCTTGGGGCTGGTTTATTACAAATTTTCCAAAACATGACTCCCCAAACGATGTAGTTATCAGTCCAGTGTACGTAGTCTTTAAACTCCCATGACATGACCCCCCACATATCACACGCCAGCATCTTCTGCCTCACCTGGGCTCCTCTTGTGTCCTGCCAGGACACCCCCCAAGCCGTCAGCTGGAGTGCAAACGTGCTGTTACCAGCGGGACCCAAAGCCTTTCTGGTCAAAGGGGGGGTTTCACTCCAGCCTCTCATCCTTGCCAGTAAAGCATCCCTCACTTCCCTCAGGCCACTCTCTCATCTCCTGGGTCCAGCCCTCCATTGTGGGGACAGGGCCAGCCTTAGAGAAAATGGCACCCTAGGCAAAAATGTATTTTGGTGCCCCAGCCCGCGCTGCCTCCCCCCCAGCCCCCTATTGCCCCTGGCCCCCACTGCCTCCCCCCTATTGCCCCAAGCTCCCTTCCGCGGCCACGCGCCCCAGGCTTGCCCTGCTCCTTGCCTCTTGACCTGGGCGCCCTGGGCAGGGATGTCAGGGGGAAGCTCATCCACTGCTTCCGGGCCTCTGCCCGCAGCTTCAAGCCAGCAGGCACCTTCCTCTGCTGCTCTCCTGGCCTTCCCCGGGAAATGCCTGCATCTCCCTTCTGGGACCACCCGCGGCAGCTCTCACCGGTCCCACGCCTGCCCGCCAGGGTCTCTGACACTCAGCCCCCGCCAACCTTTTCGGTCACTCTGGCTGCCCTGCCCTCTTGGCTGGCTGACAGGGTGCCCCTGTGCTTTGCTGGCAGAGGGCTGCCCCCCAGGCTGGGCCCAGTGGCTGGGGGAGGCCCAGCTCCTGTTCTCAGCGCTGGTGAGCGAGAGCCGCAGCCCACGGGGAACAGCCCGCTTACGGCTGTTCCCTTAGGTTGTGCGCTCGCCATGATTTTCTGCCGCTTTTCCAGGCCCTGGTGCAGCCGGGGCCCCCCCCGTCACATCACACAGCAGTTATCAGGGAGCTACGCGGCTACCTGCCGCTGGGTACAGAAAGTGCAGGGAGGGGCACGGGGTCAGCCCTGCCCCCCCCCCCCCAGCTAGCGTTAACCTCTTGGTGCCAGCCAGCAAGGCAGGGAGGGCAGGGCTGGGTGACTGGCGGGGGGCAGGCGGTGGGTTTAACCTGGGCTCTCTCTCCCCCTCAGTTCTACGTGTACTTCGCCTACTTCACGCTGCTGGCGGTGGCGTACCTGGGGGCAGCGGTGTGCGAGGCCGTGAGGCGCCGCCGGGGCAAGGTGCCGCAGGAGCCGGCCTTCGCCAAGGAGCTCTGCAGCCCCGCTGAGGAGGCGCCGGGGAAGGAGAGGAGCTCGGAGCCGGGCAGCGTGCACATCTGAGAGAGGAGACATGAGGGAGCGGCCTGTGTGCAGACCCCAGCCCCATCACCGTCCCAGCCAGCAGCCAGCCCTGCCGCGGTCCTCTCACCTTCCTCGCACTGTCAATGCGCAGCTGAGAAAGCCGGGAGCGCAGGCCAGGGTGGGGCTGCAGGCCTGTCCTAGCTCGTAGGGGCCGCCCATCCCCGGGCTGTGCTCACCCTCGGCCCCCAGGCTGCCACTCCTGCCTGCGCCGCCCCTCCCATCACAGCCTCAGCGCCGGCAGAAGCTGCACCGTGCAGACCTGTGTTACGAACGGCCTGTGAGGACAGAACGGCGCCAGCCCGGAGTCCCGTCCCAGCGCCAGGCCTGCTGCTTTGAGTGCCACGGCTCCGTTACTGATGTGGTTCCTGGGCCGGGTTTTCCAGACACTTGTGCGTGCGCACACACGCTCATTCGGGGTGACCTGTGCCAAGCTAACCAGGAAATCGGGGGGCAGGGCTACACCCAAGATGTTGCTAAGACAAGCCATTGGGGCCCTCTGGTGTCAGCCCTCATGGGTCCTGTGTTCCAGCTTTGCCCCACAAGGGCTAGAAGTGTGCTCTTTGTAGTGAAAGCTGAGGGTCCCGTGTAATCACCTGACTCCAGGCTCTGGGGCTTGGAGCACTGCACCCGATTGCCCCTCCCCCCATGCGCTGCTTCGGCAACGGTCTGAATGGCACCTGTGCAGCCGCTGCAGCTGCTCTTGCCCCAGCCAGCTGCTTCCACCCTAGTTCCCCCAGGCCCCTCTGGCGCTGAATCTGCCTCCGCCCTGGGGGGCCAGCCCTGCCCTCCCTGCACACGGGTCTGTAGCTTTACAGCATGGCCCACAGAGCAGCCTTGCTCTGTACTACGGGGCTGGAAAGTCCTGGCGTAACCTGGGGCCTTGTGGCATAACTACGGCGCATGCTGCATACGTCCAGGGAGCTTCGACCCAAGCGGGACCATGGTTGGCTCTCCTTGCCCCCCCCGGGCAGCCGTGGGGACTGGGTCGGGCTGAGCAGGTGAGCTGTGCCCTCCTGCCTGGCATACATCAGCTGACTGTAACAGATGGCCCGGGGGGGGGGGGGTCCTGTACGCACAGGGGAGCTGCTGGCAGCCCAGCACAGGGCTAGGGGCCCATTGCTGCCCTTAGACGCTGTGCTCCTCTGGGGCCTGCAGCCTGCACAGTGGTGCATCGGTGGCCACCGGGGCAGGGCAGCTCAAGACCACAACCCTTCTGTGCTGGGGTGTGGCACACAGCAGCCTGCGTGCCCGCGGCCTGGTGGGCAGTGCTGGCTGGCTGCGCACGCCCACGTGCCCTTGGTGTCTGGGGGAGGTGCCTGGCCAGTAGCAGACACCCCGCTGTGACAATCTGCTGAGCGCCCAGCCTTGTGCGCCATGCCGTTACCCTTCCCCTGCCCCCAGCCCCAGCCTGGGGGCGTTTTAATACTGCTAAGCTGCCTGCCAGCTCCCAGCCATGCCAGCAAACACTGCAGGGCTCTGCCAAGCCAAACCGTGCCTTAAACTGTGAACCTCCCAACAGCATCTCCCATCGGCGGCCAGCCCCTGGCTGCACACGCTCACGCAGTAGTAAGGTTTTTGCTGCTTTAAAGAGCCCATACACTCAGCCTGCTAGGTTCCTGGGGGCGGACACACCCGCCCTCCCGTTAGCGCACACCCCCTTGGCTGGTCACAGGGCTAAGTGCTACCACGGGTCAGGAATAAAGCTGGATGGTTACACGCAAGCAAAAGTAAAATGACCCCGTGTGGCCTAAAACCCAATGGACCAACTGAGCCTCTCATTCAGCGCCGTGTTTCTCGCCAAGAGGCTGGCCCAGCACAGCTGGCCGGGCTCCCAGGCAGGCCCTGCGCAGAGGGCAAAATGCTCGGGCCTGACATGGCACCCAAAGGTCCGTGACCCTGTGACAAGAGGGGGCCCGGTTCCTGGTGATGTCCCAGCCCCTGCTGCCTTGTATGTAACTAACACAGCCAAGCCCTAATGCTCTCTTGACGCTGGAGACAGGGAGGGGTCTGCCTCCCGCCCGCCTGGGCCCTTTCGCCCTGTTGGGTCAGACTGACGCGTACTAACAATGAGTAGCCAAGGCCTCAGCCCAGGTTACTACGGATGTTACGCTGACCTCGCTCACCAGCATGCCACGGGCCTTCAGAAGAGAGAGGCCGGATGCCCAGTAAACCAGGCTGTCACCGCGGTGGGTAGATGCCATGCTGTCTGCGCCCCTGCGTGCTCACCTGGAGTCCCTTCACGGTAACTGCCCCTGCCCTGGCTCTGCCCGCCACCGGGCTGGGCAGATAAGCCCATGCCCAGCCTGTGAGTGCGACGTGCCCATGGCAGGCCTGACAAGCACAGCAAATCCCTAGGCCTCTCTCTCGTGCCCGCCCACGCTGTGTCACTGGGCCCTGGCACTGCTGAGCCCCAGGGCTTGTGTGGCCAGCAGCCCCCCCCAGGGCTGGCACAGTGCCCTAGCAGGGGGCGTTGAGGGCCTCAGCTCTTCGCTCAGGGCTGCAGGACGGCTGAGCCGGTCCTGTGTAAAGTCCGGCCTGGCACGAGGGCTGTTGTGCTGGCTGCACGGCCTGGGTGCAGGGTGAGGCTCTGTGTGCCACCCTCCCCTGCACCTGGGATGGGATGCTGGCTGGAAAGGCCCTGCCTGCCTATCGCCCCTCTCCCCAGGGTGCATTGCTGGCCACCCTGGCAAGGGCAGCTGCCCTTGCCTCATCCACGTGCCTGGTACCGGCTGAACTCTGAGCTGGCCTCCAGCAGGAAAGGGCCCTGGGGGCTGGGCATAGGTCAGGGTGTCCCAGGAGCCTGGACTCGACCCCTGCCCCCAACACCCTCACTCCCAGCCAGGGCCTGTGTGCCATTGCTCCAGCCCAGCCCCAGCGCAGGGGGACAGGCGCAGGGGGTCACCCTGATGAAAGAGGGATCTACCCCACCAACGGGGGCCCCTTTCCCTGCACAGCTCCAACCCACCGCCTGCTGCCCCCTCCCAGCTGTACATGCACCCAGGCAGCTGGGCCCCGGCACTGGCCAACAGAGCCTACTGCATGGCCACAGCACCTGGGGCTGGGAGGCCCTGGGCGCTGCTGGGATCCAACACCCTCTTTGGGATTTCAGGGCCTGCCCTTAGCTCCCAGGTGTTCAGCTCCTCACTTTCCTAACCCCTGCTGGTCAGTTGGTGTGAGACTCTGGGTGGCACCACAGTGCCAGGGGCACCAGGGCCTGGGCTCCGTCTGGCACCATGGCACTGGGGGCCCAGGGCTCCATCTGGTGCTAGGGCTGCAGGGACCTGGGGCGTCATCTGGCACCATGGCACGAGGGACATGGGGGCTCTGTCCAGTACTGCAGCGCTAGGGGCTGCGGGGAGCCGGGGCTCTGTCCGGCACTAGGGGGCATGGGACCGTCTGGCAGCACAGCATGGGGCTCCATCCGGCACCATGCTGCTTGTGCCCGGCAGCAAAAGGGGAAGCAGCGAGCTGGTGCGGGGCTGGATTTAACATCAACACTGACTGCTAGGCCTGCACTCAGTAGTTATTGACATTTCACCTTTCCATGGGGAGCCGCAGCTCGGGCTGGGCTGGGGTCTCGCTGAGTAAGTTCAGAGTCCCTCGACCTGTGGCCATGGAGCCGGGGAATTGGCTCCTAGCACAGCACCCCAGGGGCAGCCCTTGGGCCTCTTCCCGTAGCCAGCCCGAGCCCAGGCAGTGTCCACCTGCACCGCACAGCCTCGGGGGGTCTCAGCTTCCCGGGCACTCACACGGCCCAAGGAACGCCGAGCCTGGGAGTTGAGGCTTGCCAGTCCCGAGCCAAGGGCCTTGTCACGCAAGCGGCAGGGCTGTGACTGAGGGGCCAATGCAACAGGAAAGCTGGGGCGGGCAGGGGGTGTGTGCGCAAGTTATTAGGCTACTGCCGCATCAGCATCCTGAGGGGTCTCATGGTACCAGCCTAAAGGTGTGGGGAACCCCCCAACCGCCTTCCCATCAACCACGAAACCTGGCTCCACTCCAACAGGAGCCGGACATTTCTCTGAACAAGAGCACCCAGAGTGACCCCAGTTAACCACGACTAGGCTTTGCCAAATTCATGGTCCACTCTGGTCAAGTTCAGCCATCTGATTTTAAAAGGTCAATTTCATGCTTTCAGATGTGTTGGTGTAACCGTGGGGGTCCCGACCCAAACCGGGGGTCTGTGGGATTGCCACGCTCACTTCTGTGCTCTGCCGGCCGCGGAGCTGCCTTTGCAGCTGGGCGGCCAGAGAGCAGCAGCTGCTGTCCGGGCACCCAGCTCCGAAGGCAGCAGCCTGGCCAGCAGAGCACAGAAGGGAGGATCACAGGGTATGGGGAGTCATCACTTTTCCGGGGGCAGGGCCGGCCTTAGAGGAGGGCGACTGTGATCATGACACCATGGTCCCCCACAGCCTGCTCAAGGCCCCTTTAACCTGAGTGCTGGGCCCAAAGCCAGAGAAGGGCAAGGCTGAGGGCGCCCCAGCCAAGGGCTCCTACCATGAACCAGGCTCCAGCTGCTAGTCCCGGCCGGGCTGGGGAGAGACGGGACTTCCTCTTCCCCGGCACAGACAGCATCAGACCCACCTCTGGGAACCTCCCCCGGCTGCAGGAAGCTCCACGGCTGCTCTGACTCCACAGCCCACCCTCACGTCTGTGCTGCCCTCAGAGCTGGGCTCCCAGCCAGCCAGGTCCCAGCCCTGGGAGTGGCCTCTGCAGGGGAAGAGGAAATCCCTCCCCAGCCCAGCCCAGGCACTGGAGTCTGGCACAGGACAGGAGCCCCCCTCCCCTAAAACAGCAAGATTTCACAGTCCCTGATGTGTTTTTCATGGCCGTGAACTTAGAATCATAGAATATCAGGGTTGGAAGGGACCCCTGAAGGTCATCTAGTCCAACCCCCTGCTCAAAGCAGGACCAATTCCCAGTTAAATCATCCCAGCCAGGGCTTTGTCAAGCCTGACCTTAAAAACCTCTAAGGAAGGAGGTTCTACCACCTTGGTTCTACCAACTTGGTAGGGCCCCAGTGATGACATTCTGGAAGGGACAGTAAATCTCATGTCTCAGGGTGTCAGCCAGACTCGAATAGAAACCAGAATGAGACCAAACGTGGATACTGCACAAGACGAACCTCAGATCTGCTCCTTGCAGGTGTTCCTCTGACCTTCCACTTGGAGGAAGCCAGAGTCCAGCTGCCTGCATTTCTTAAGGGCTAGCGACCATGCATTCACACCCTCTTCGCAGCCAAGTGACTGGGAGTACAAGAGGAGACGTTCCTTTATTCAGTGCCTTTAGAAAAGGTTTAAAGAACACAACTGACAAAAAAAAAACAAAAATCCACAGGCTTTAAATTGCATTAATTACACAAATACAGTAGACAAGAAGAAATGGAAATTGTGTGACTTGCACAGCCTTTATGGTAATAATTTCAGTACAATAAGAAGCTAGTTAAAAATTTAGCACCTCAGATTTCCAAAACTGATTAAAAAATCCTTTAGACATTAGTGCTTCACAAGTACGGTACATGAGGAGTATAAAAGTGTGTGGAAGGCTTCTGGCTTGGAGGTGGGACGTTCTCCTGGAGACGATGCTCAGCTGCAACATGGGACCTTAAATCCCACCCCCAGACTTGCCCGTCGCGGGCTGGGGCTCCCTCTGGCAGTCAGGGTGTATGGCAGCGAAGAAGCACCTCCACCCCGTAATGCTCATGGAGGTCACAAACCCTCGACGCTCAGTATTGCTAGAACAGGTACTTTTCAATCTGCCCTCTGGAAACTGTCAAACTTCCCCCACCCCCAAGCAAAGGAGAGTACATCCAGTCCCCTCGTCAGCGCACGCGCCCTGACCAGAGTAAGGCACATGGTGGCCAGGGTTTGGTGTGGATCGGCTGGGCTAGCCTGTGGAGGGGACGCCCGGCTAGCCAGTGCCCTGCGATGGAGAAGGCACTGCCCAGAACAGTTGGGGTGGGGAGTCGGGCTCCATTCGACTTTTCTCTTATAACAAACCCGTTCCGTTCTTCCGAAAAGGACCCGAGTCTGCTTTCAAAGGACAGCCCGCCCCTCTGAGCGGCTCCCAAAGTACTGCCCCACTGCCAGCTTACCCATGCCATGGGGGGAACCCACTTCTCACTACCCACTACGGGGAGCAGGGCTCTGCTGGCAGGAACCCCACTGCCAGCTCAGAGGCGCCTGTGGCTGGGGGCCTGGCCCCACTCCAGCTGCCCTGGAACAGGGGGAAGAGGGGAGGCGAAGCCAGGGGCTATCAGACCTAGCCGAGGGGGAAGCCGACCCGCAGACAGGGACACAGCTAGAGACTCGGGGCCTTTCGCCAGCTGAGTCCCTGCAGGGTGCGTGGTCCGCGACAGACAGCAAAGCCCTGGGATGCCCTCAGACCGTGCGGTGACAGCCCACCCTGCTCCGGCTGCTCCCGAGGCCAGAGTGCTGTCCAGCGGGGGCAGTCACCCACCCCACAGCGCGAGGACCGGCCGTGCAGCCAGCTCTCCAGCTGGGCCTCCCTGTCTCCACGAAGAGCATCTTGTGCTCCAGCACCCTGCGTGGGGACCGCGGGGCCTTCCCTGTGGCGACCGTCCTAGCAAGGGGGCAAACGGAACCAAGGGGAGTTCACCCAAGAATACAACTAACCTGGTTAAATATGAGGGGGATTAAAAGAGAGCGCCCCGCTGCATCTGCAACGGAGATGAGGAGACGGTCAGCACAGCCAGCCGGCTCAGCCCTCCACATGCTGGCCGGCGCCGGGCTGGAGTTTCAAACTAGCTCAACACTCTTTGGCTTTTCATCTGCTTCTCTGGGAATGGCTGTGTGAAGGGGGAAGCGGCTGCCCCATGGGGGTCCCTCCTCTCTGTGCTCCGAGGCGCGGGCGGGGGCAGGTCACTTTTTGGAAGAGGTCATGAAGCTGTTCTCGATACACAAGACGATGAAGGCGTTCTGGCAGCTGCTCACCTTCTGCTCCAGGAGCTTGCCCGAGGCCAGCGAGGAGGCCTGGCCCGTCACCACGCTGTTGTCCGTCCTCCATGTCTCGCAGTAGCTCTCTGTGAGCCGGTGGCCCTTGGCGTCAGAGCCGTGCCACACGTTCTTCTGAGGCCTGCAACACAAGACAACAGCTCACTGCCAAGCCCGTGGGCAGGAGCAACGGCTGGAGTGACACGGTTTGCCGAGAGACCCTCCCAACCAACCCTGGCCTCCCTTCCAGGAGCAGCAGGCTAGGCTGGAGCCGCCAGTGCTCCTCCCTGCAGCTTCCCGGGTGGCAATGAAACACAAAACCCCGACTGCAGGGAGGGGGGATGGGATCAAACCCACCCTGGGGAGGGAGGCTGGAAAACCGGAGTTTCCAGAGCAGCCCAGCATGGAGGCCCCCTGCTCAGCGAGTGTCACTCTGTTTGCACAAGACCCCCCACCACCACATCCAACCCCCCCAGATCCCTCCATTCCCACAAACAAAGCCAAGAGAGGCCCTGAGGAATACGGCCCAGTGAGCTCCCCCAGCCTGGCGGGGGTGGGGGTTCTCCCACACAGAGGGGAGCTTGGCTGGCTGGACACAGCCGTGCTATCCAGGCAGGAAGGCCGGCCCAGAGATCACGAACACCAGCCACACGTGGCCCTGTTTGAGCCAGCACTAGCCAGAGATCTTAAAACACCCGGACCAAGGAGATCCGCTCCCTCACCCTTCCTTGCCCGTTACCGCACACTGCTGGTTACACAAAGGTTCTGCCCCCCTGCCCAGCTTGGTGACTGTGGGCACCTCGCAGGAGTCAGCTCCCCACCACCAGCTATCACGGCTCTGCTTCCCCGCACGCAGGGCAGATCCGGGGAGCAACATGCAATCCAAGCCCGTGGGAATTAGCCTGGGGTGGGAACTCGGCCCAGAACTACCCAGCACACAGGCTAACTCCAGCCCCTAGCACTGCACTTAGCCAGGAGGCGGGCTTGTGCCCCGTGAGGAGCCCAGCACCTGCCCTGGGAGGCTCACATGCGCTGTTCCTACAGCAGACGGCTCGTTCCTGGCAGAGCCAGCAGCTTCTGCCCATGGCATTCGCTTGCCTTGCGTGATGCCGGTTGGGAATCATGAAACCCCATCCCCTTCGATGTCAGCCCGAAAGGGGACCCCCTGTGTCGTGGGGATCCCACAGCTGCACAGCAATGGGTCGCTCCCAGCAGCGGCAGGAGGCAGCCGTTCTGGGACACCTACCATGCAGAGTCTCTCAGGACATCTCTTCCGTCGAACGAGAGGATGCGAGCGCCAGCTTGGAACTGAGCCTCCGTGCCCGAGAACAGCGCCTCCCAGTTGTTAAACAGCACTTCATCCTTCGGGAGGAAAAACTCGTCACAGCACGTAGCATCCGGTCTGCTGGGACAGCGCACACGACAGACCAACCGGAGCCCCTCTCCTGCACTCAGCGGCCGGCCGTCGGGAAGCGGGGCTGCCGGCCCAGTTCTGCACGAGGCTCCCATGCTTCCCGCGAGGTGCTACGCGCCCCAATCCCCATCTACCGTCGTGGGAGCGAGGGCGCTTGGTGCCGCTTGCCGGATCAGGCCCTGCCGCCCCAGGTGATGGGTGCACCTCTCCAAGCGCTAGCAGGCTAAGCCCCGGGTGTGTACGTGCCCATGCCCCGCGCCCACCCCCCTGCGTACCCGGAGGTTGACGATGGGCACCCCGCTCCGGTCGGCCCTGCGCACGATGCTGTACAGGTCTTGCAGCCGGGAGGACAGGAAGGCTCGGAACGTGCCCGTCAGCCCGACTGCCCGGGCCTGCTGGAAGCACTGGAAGTCGGCTCCCCGGATGCCGCGCATGCTGCCGCTCAGTGGGGCGTTCAGCGCCACCAGGTGGAGCTGGAATGACAAGGCGAAGAGGACCCTAGGTGGTCAATGGCCATTGGCATCTTGCCACGAAGAGACTGCCGCGCTTGGGAGCAGGCAGGAGCGCCCCAGAGGTCACCTCCTCCAGTGCTAACAGCAGCATCTCTGCAGGATGCTCCCCCGGACGCCGGGAATGGTCACAGGAGCTAACCCTGCTATCTCTGGTGTGCCCAGCCAGGACCAGCAGCGCCCCCAGTCCCAGCCCAGCGCCGCGCGTCCCTGCCCCTCCCCATGCTCTCCTGCCAGCCAAGGGATCTAGTCTGGCTGGCAGGCTCCGAGCAGCGGGGCAGGGCGGGCAGGCCGGGCACAGTGCTGGAAGAAGGGGTGCGGGTGGGGACCAGGGGCATGGTAGAGCTGAGCACGACCCTCAGCTTTAGCACCTGCTCTCAGCATGAGCCCGGGGGGCCCTTTCCCTCTCACGCTTCCCAGGGACAGCCCCCGCCCCCAGTCTCGGACGGTTTGGGCCCCGCTGCCTGGGCTGGGCTGCCATAGGGTGGCTTAGTGCACTATCCCCTCCGGCCGCGCGCACAGCTCTGCTCTCGCTCGGCGGGGGCAGCTGCCGGGGGGGGCGGCTGTGGCTGGCCAGTACTCACGGCGGGCTGGAAGTCGTGGTGCGTGTGGCCAGCGGAGGGGGCGCTCTGGCCCCGACGGCGTGGGGGGAAGCTGTCCAGCAGCTCTTGCTGGGGCCGGGCGCTGTGGGGCGAGTGGTCGGGAAGGCGGTGGTGGTTGGCGATGCTGTCGTCCGCTCGCCAGGGCCGGGCTGTGGAGGAGGGGTTGTGCTCTCGGCGCGGGTGCAGGGAGCCGGAGGAGTCAGCGCCGCCATGCGAGTAGTGGACACTCGGCGGCTTGTCGTACACTTCGTTGTCCTGTTGGGAGAGAGCGCGATGCTCACTGCCCAGCCCTGGGGCTGGCGAGCAGCCCCGGCCAGCTGGAGGAGAGATCCCTGGCTCTGCGGGGCAGAGTCGCACTCCGTGGGCCTGAGAGCACAGCCCTCGGGGGGGGACAGAAGGGCTCACTTACCAGCCCCGGGCTGGAGAGGGAAGTGTGTTCCTCCAGCTGAAACAAAGCAAGGAGGCTCACGTTACTGGGGAGTCAGTCACCCTCTGTCCAGGCAGAGCCAGGCTCCAGGCTCCCTGGGCAGCCACACCACACCAGTGAGAACAGTCAGTAAAGGGAAAGATTTCGGGGGCCGTTCCAACGCAGCTGGCGGGAGGCTGTGGCCCACGGGCTGCTCAGTGACCACCCCCGCGTCAGAGGGTGCCAGGATCTGCGGAGGAGCGAGAGGCAGCATGCTCCAGCTCCATGCAGACCACAGGCTTCACCACAGACCGGCCAGGGCCGAACCCCCCTCAAACCTGTGCCAGAAATCCCATGCCTGGGGCTACAGCTCAGCATGTGCTTACTATGTGGGGAGATTCCCAGTGCAGTGGTGGGGTCCCTGAGCGGGTGGGGCATGGTGGGCGATTCCCAGTGCAGCGAGTGTCCCTGAGCACATGGGGCGTATGTGGGTGGATTACCAGTGGGGGTCCCTGAGCGTGTGGGGCATGGGAGGGGATTCCCAGTGCAGTGGGTGTCCCTGAATGGGTGGGGTGTGTGTGGGGGGGATTCCCAGTGGGGGTCCCTGAGCACGTCGGGGGAGATTCCCAGTGCGGTAGGTGTCCCTGAACGGGTGGGAGGCCAGTCTCCCCGAGCTGGAAGGCAGAAGAGGCTGCCAACGCTCACTTAGCAAGCAGCATCTGGGGCTGCGAGTGGCCCAGCAGTGCCAGGGGCTCCAGCAGGAGTGATCGGGAAGGGGAGCTGTGGGTGCTGGTACCCTGGGGGTCAGTGCAGTCCACACCAGGGGGACGGTGCAGAGCTTCTAAAGAGCATTCACTCCCGTCCCTGGAGAGAAGAATTCTCTGGATCTGGAGAGTACTCTGCAGCTGGAGAGTACCAGGGCCCCGCACCACCCCCGCTTCCCAGCCAAGGGAGCCACACGAGTTTGCTGAGAGGGCCTGGCGTGGGCACCCCGCCCACTAGCTGTGTGTCATTAATCCCCAACAGACAGGGCTGGGGTGCCCTTCCCGCCAACGGCTCTGGCAAGCCAAGCCTGGGAGTAGCGGCAGCACTAAATCCAACCTGCCCTCCCCATCAAACTGCCCCGGCCCCACGCGCTGGGTGTGCCAGGAACAGGCTGGGCCATAGGCTGCATGGGAAACGGCCCCTGCCCCTGTGCTGTTTGCTCCCCTTGGCACACAGAACAGGCACTGCCAGGCTCGGTTTCTGGGGCTCTTCCCTGGGAGCAGCAGTCCCAAGGACCTGCTATATGTCAGTCTCACACTCAGCCCTCATTCAGCCTGGCTGAGCCTGTCAGCAGAGAACGGCCGAGGCTCTTCTCAGCCCCATTCTGCCCAGCACGCAGGGTGACCCTGCATTGTTTATCCGGGAGCCGGATGGTCAGAGGTCTTCAGATTTCACCTCTGCCCATGGCTGGACTGGCAGCAGGCCCAGCTCCTGCTGCTGGAAATGCCCAGGAGGCTTCTGCAGGGCGAGGGGTCTGTGCGAGCAGAGCAGGCTCCACGGTTGGGCTTGAAGGCCCCGATCCTGACAAGAGAGACATGCTCAACCAGACCCACTGTGGGTCTTTCCCTGCCCTCTACAGGACTGCTCCAAGGGCATGTGCTGTGTAGGCCTGGGGCCTTTGCCTGGCAGCGCCTGGCGCACAGGTCTGGCCCTGGCTGGGCCCCGGCACACCTGCGGTGCTCTTCAGACAGCTCTGGACGCAGGTATGTGCATAGCAGCCTATCCTCCCATAACAACGTCGTTCATCAGCCCCAGGCCCTCTCTGGCCAGGCTCACAGGCACCTTCTCCTGTATGACACCCGCACAGTCACTCCCCAGTAGCCTTGCCAGGCTCGGCAGAGCCACCCCGTACTCACCCGGACTCTCCGGAAGCCGCTCCGCACCCGGACGTACAGCTCTTCTCTGTCCTGTGCGAAGACCAGCCAGCCCTCGGGCACCTCCTGGGCCGTGCTCAGCATGGACTGATACGATGGCAAGATCCGCAGCTGCTGGGACACACAAGCGTCAGCGCACAGGCAAGGGCTGGGCTCAACGGCAGGAGGAGCCTCTGCAGCCCAGCACGGAGGTACAAGGCACAGCTCCCGACGCCGGCATGGACTCGGAGGAGAGGGTGGAGAACGCCATGAAATGGGCTCAGCAGCACTGGCATGCTTAGTGCTCCGGCATCAAAGGGCTCAGAGGTCACCCCTCATGGAGGCTGTCCAGTGGATGCTGGGTTTATACCCCGTGTTCTGGAGCCGCCCTGGTGCATCAGAGCAGGGCCCTGGCCAGGACAGCGGCCAGAGGCTTTAGGGAACAGCGTGAAACTCCTCTGGACAATTCTGCCATCACCCACCCCTGGGGGAGTGTCCTCCCTAACGCCAGGGATGTAGGGGCTGCTGTATCTCTTGGCATGAGAGCTGATTCCCCTTGTACCCTTATTCTTGCCACGGAAAGCGTGCATGCTGCTATTCCTACAGCGGTCCAATCCTTTTCTGAACCTGGCCTCTCTGTCTCTATAATATCTTGTAGCCCTGAGGTCCACAGCGTAATTCTGCCTCAGGGGAATCAATTTTACTTTGTCAGTTTCAGATTAGCTGCCCCCCTATCTTATCGGATGTCTCCTTGTTTTGCTGAGGAGGGCTTCACGCCTGGCCTTCTCCATGCCACTGGGGTATATCTAGTTAGAACGACCCCTCGCCCCCATCTCCTCTCTGCACTGAACAGCCCTGTCTGTCTCTTCCCACCTATGAGTGTTTCTATGGCTTGACAGCTTCCACTGCTCTTCTCGGCCGAACGGCGGATACCTGCCCCTCACAGTGGGCAGCGTGGCCTGTTGCAGAGAAGTGGGCTCTAGCCGGGACACAGGGCCCTCCTGGCACAGAGTGGCACCGCAGAGGAACCAGTCTTGCAGCCACGCTGCAGACGCACAGGAAGGACCCGCTGCCTCCCTAGATAAGCTGTGCCAAGGGTTGATTCCCCTCACTGCTAAAAATCGACCCCTCATTTCTCGCTGCAGCTCCCAGGCGGGGGGCTTCTAGACTGGAGAGCCCCCTGTGCCACAAATCTCCTGGGGGTAGGTACTTACAGTCCCCGCCCCCCTTCTCTTGGATAAAGGCAGGGGTCTGCACAGATCCCCTCACGAGCACAGTGCCGTCAGCTCCATGAGCCCTACGGCATGGGGCTTTCGGTCTCCGGTCTCTGCCAGTCCTTCCCACGTGGCTCTCCTCACAGCCCAGCTCCCGCAGCGGGTATCGCTTGCTTTGCGCTCAGTGTCCGTGCCACTGGCAGCCCCCCAGCCAGCCCAGCCAGCATGAAGCAGAGGTCAGTGATTTTCTGACTAGTGCCACCCCTGGCAACCCTAAGGCCTGGCCTCTCCTGCTCCTCTGGGGCCCCCATCTGGATCCCACTCTGCCCTTCACCCGGGATATTCCTCCTGAGAGCAGATTTCTGAGCTCTCCTACTAGGGCTTGTGTCTGGGTCTCCCCACTGCATTGCCCCCGCCCGCTCCCGGGCCTGCTGGGCAGCTCCGGGCACCCTGCTCACAGACAGGCCCTGGCCCAGACCGCACACGCCACCTGTCCCCTCCCCACAAGCCCTGCCTTACCCCGGAGGAGGTCAACAACCCGCTGGTCCCTGGAGGTCCCGGTGGCCCTGGCGGTCCAGGTGGGCCAGGGATGCTGACAGCTGGAAGGAAGAACAGGCTGGCACTCAGGGGGGTTTAGCACCTCGGTAACCAGGCAGGTCTCAGGCCTGGTGGGGGTGAGTGGGACGCGAGGGGCATGAACGCGTGGGGAGGCAGAGCGCGGGGAGGGGCACAGAGATGACTTCCTGGGCACATACTCACTTTGTCTGTGGGGTCCTGGAAAGGAGGGGGGCCCGGGAGGCCCAGGGGGACCAGGGGGGCCCTGCCGCCCCTCGTACCCAATACCAGGGGGTCCCTGAGGCCCTGGGGGGCCAGGCAGGCCTCTAACGCTGTCCCCCTTGGGACCCTGGGGATGCACAAGGGAGAGTCTTCTTCAGGTTAATACACACAATCACTCAACCCACCCCTCCCAGCACCACCCAGCCCCTGCAACCCCCCTGCCCCCAAGGATGCAGAGCGCTTGCTTCCCCCTTGCCGACCCTCCCACCCCAGGATGCCGGGCGCTTGCTGGCCCCACTGGCCTCGTGAGGCCTTTCTCCCTGGGCATTGGGCAGCCGCCTGACTCTGTGGTCAGTCCCATCTATACAGTGGAGTAACATTGTATATCAATGATGAGGTAGAATGTAAAGAAATAAGAAGCGATGGAATGGATAAGACAGAGTCCATCTGGGCAAAAATCACATTGGGGGAGAAAACTATTAGAGCGCCCCCTGGGATAGTGCTTGGGGTGTGCTATAGACCACCGGGATCTAATTTGGATATGGATAGAGCCCTCTTTAATGTTTTTAATGAAGTAAATACGAATGGAAACTGCGTGATCATGGGAGACTTTAACTTCCCAGATATAGACTGGAGGACGAGTGCTAGTAATAATAATAGGGCTCAGATTTTCCTAGATGCGATAGCTGATGAATTCCTTCATCAAGTAGTTGCTGAACCAACGAGGGGATGCCATTCTAGATTTGGTTTTGGTGAGTAGTGAGGACCTCATAGAAGAAATGGTTGTCGGGGACAATCTTGGTTCAAGTGATCATGAGCGAATTCAGTTCAAACTGAACAGAAGGATAAACAAAAATAAATCTGCAACTAGGGTTTCTGATTTCAAAAGGGCTGACTTTCAAAAATTAAGGAAATTAGTTAGGGAAGTGGATTGGACTGAAGAATTTATGGATCTAAAAGCAGAGGAGGCCTGGGATTACTTCAAGTCACAGCTGCAGAAGCTATCGGAAGCCTGCATCCTAAGAAAGGGGAAAAAATACATAGGTAGAAGTTGTAGACCAAACTGGATGAGCAAGCATCTCAGAGAGGTGATTAAGAAAAAGCAGAAAGCCTACAGGGAGTGGAAGATGGGAGGAATCAGCAAGGAAAGCTACCTTATTGAGGTCAGACCATGTAGGGATAAAGTGAGACAGGCTAAAAGTCAAGTAGAGTTGGACGCATCAACTAGAAGTAACGGAGGAGGAGAAGGACCTTGGAGTATTGGTTGACCACAGGATGACTATGAGCCACCAATGTGATACGGCCGTGAAGAAAGCTAATGCGGTCTTGGGATGCATCAGGCGAGGTATTTCCAGTAAAGATGAGGTATATAAGCCACTGGTGAGACCTCACCTGGAATACTGTGTGCAGTTCTGGTCTCCCATGTTTAAGACTAGAACAGCTACAGAGAAGGGCTACTAGGATGATCCGAGGAATGGAAAACCTGTCTTATGAAAGGAGACTTCAGGAGCTTGGCTTGTTTAGCCTAACTGAAAGAAGGCTGAGGGGAGATATGATTGCTCTCTATAAATATATCAGAGGGATAAATACCAGAGAGGGAGAGGAATTATTTAAGCTCGGTACTAATGCGGACACAAGAACAAATGGATATAAACTGGCCACCAGGAAGTTTAGAATTGAAATTAGATGAAGGTTTCTAACCATCAGAGGAGTGAAGTTCTGAACAGCCTTCCAAGGGAAGCAGTGGGGGCAAAAGACCTATCTGGCTTCAAGATTAAACTTGATAAGTTTATGGAGGAGAAGGTATGATGGGGATAACATGATTTTGGCAATGAACTGATCTTTAACTATTCATGGTAAATAGGCCCAATGGCCTGTGATGGAATGTTAGATGGGGTGGGATCTGAGTTACAGAGTTACAGAGAATTCTTTCCTGGGTGTCTGGCTGGTGAGTCTTGCCCACATGCTCAGGGTTCAGCTAATCGCCATATTTGGGGTCGGGAAGGAATTTTCCTCCAGGGCAGATTGGAAGAGGCCCTGGGGGTTTTTCGCCTTCCTCTGCAGCATGGGGCATGCGTCACGTGCTGGAGGATTCTTTGCACCTTGAAGTCTTTAAACCATGATTTGAGGACTTCAATAGCACAGACATAGGTGAGAGGTTTATTGCAGGAGTGGGTGAGTAAGATTCGGTGGCCTGCGTTGTGCAGGAGGTCAGACTAGACGATCATAATGGTCCCTTCTGATCTTAATATCTATGAATCTAGCTCAGGGATCCCCCTGCCCCTCCCTGAGTCCCCTGAGACTGGTCCCATGAAGGACCCCCCCTGGGGAGGGCCACAGTGCTGGCTGCATGCTGCCTGCCCTGTCAAACTCTCCATCACTGTGCCCAGGTGTGCCCACCCTAGCCCCATCCCCTTGCCAACAGGGGCACCTCACCGGAAGGCCAGGATAGCCCTGAGGACCTGGAGGTCCAGTGACGCTTGGTCCGTACAGTCCTCCCCCGCCAGACTCCCCCTTTTCTCCTTTCAGTCCAGGGTCCCCCCGGTCTCCTTTTTCACCCTGCCGAAGGGGACTGACATTAGTCTGGGCTGCCCGATGTCCCCAACCCTTCCTCCCCACCCCAACAGGGACAGGGTGCTGTGAACTCCTCCACACACCCTGCTGCCTGCACAGGCCAGGACCGGATGAGCACCGCCCCCGAGGGCAGGGGTACGGTGACACGTGCCCTGGAAGGCTGGGCAAAGGCTGCGCTGCCCGTCCCTGCGGTGCCTGGGTGGCGCATGCTCTGTGGGGACAGACAAGCAGAGCGCGCCAGCTCCAGGGAGTGACTGGGACTGCCCTCTGCAGGGCGCCCCAGGGGTGCTCAGCCTGCGGCGGTGCCCGTAACACAGGGTGCCACCTGGATATTCAGGGACACTGAGCGCGGGCATCACTTCCTGGGGTCACAGCTCTGGAGCCGGGTGCTTGAGCCACGCCAGTCTTGACCTGAAGCCACAGCACAACGGGCTCTCCATGTGCAGCGACAGCTGGGGACGCCCCCTGTGACTCCTGCCAAGGAGGGGCACCGGCTCCGTGCACTCCTGCTCCTAATGCCCTCAGTGGCAGCAGTCCCACTGATTCCCAGGGGGCAGCCCCACATCTAGGCGAGGCACTTACCCGGAAGGTGGAACCAAATTCGTTGAGATCATAGGGGAACTGGCCTGCGAAGAGACAGGAACAGAGTCAAGAGTGGCTAGCGGGCGCTGTTAAATCCCACCGCTGAAGGTCCTGGTACATTCCCTGCCACTCTCCCCATTGCTTTGTCCCCAGACAGCTACCAATGGCTCACCACGCCGGGCTGGGGTGACTAGCGCCAACCGCAAGGGCCTTCTAACACGCTAACGGAACTTTATTAAGGTGCAAAGTCAAGCACCTGGAAGTAGGAAAGGCGGGAATTAAGGCTGCCCGCGGGAACAGCACTCTGCCCCTTTGTGTGCATTGGGATATCGTCTCATGACATGATGGCATGCTGTTGTTTCCTCAGAACCAGAGCACAGGAGGGCGGTGCTCCCTGATGAGCAGCTAGTCCATATTTGATTTTCTTTTCATCGTTCAGGCCTTATTTACTGCCCCCTGTTCAAACCCTGCTCTGAATCCAAATGATTCATTTCCTCATGAGCTTTTCTATGCAGCTCAGCACTACGGTATCCGAGTGCTCTACAAACAGTACTGCATTTATCCTCTCCCACTCACCTCACATTGTGCTGTATTATTCCCATTTTACAGATGGGGGACTGCGGCACAAAGAGATTATGGTCAAAAGTATCCACTAATTTGGGGTGTCCAGTTTGAGACACCTAGGCACTGTACAGCACAGCTCCTGTTGACTTCAGCCACAACTGTGAGCGCTCAGCACTTCTGCACCTCACACCCCAGGCTCTCAAGTTGGGCACCCAGAATATTAGGAACAAACCAACCAAACTTTCATGGGTGGTCACTATTAAGTGACTTGCCCAGCATCACACAGGAACTCTGTGGCAGAGGCAGGGATAGAATCCAGTTCTCCAGGGCAGCATTCAACTGCCTTCCCCACAAGACCATCATTTCTCTGCCAGCCCCGCCTCATTCCTGGCACACCTTCCAACTTCGGCAACAATCGAGGCAGGTCCTGCAGACAACACCCTCCTTCACTGCACAGCCCTGACGCTGCCTCAGAGCAGGTCCGCCCTGAACGAGGCCAGGGCCTCACCTCCGGGGAACATGGAGTTCACAGCTCCCGGGCTCAGCCACCCGTGTCTCTTTGCAGAGACTGCCAAATGGTGCGATTTGCACTGACCTGGTCAGCACGATCTTGCACACGTCACTGCAGAGCCATGAGGCAGGACCAAGTCCGGCGCAGCGCAGATGGAAGATCAGGGATGAGCTCGCTTACCTGGGGGCCCTGGGGCACCTGTGTCGCCTCGTTCACCCTTTTGTCCTGGGGCACCCTGGTAGCCTGACAAAAGAAAGCACCAGCATTGGCCTAAGACTGTTCGGGCCACGGAGGAGAGATGCAGGGAACTACTGCAGCTTTTAACTGCGCCCACCACGTGCCCAGGGCGAAGGGCGGCAGTCCTGGAGTAACTGCAGGCCAACGCTGACCTTCGAGTGGCAACCACAGGATGGTACGTGCGCTTGGGCACCGGAAGGCAGCACACACCCGCACAAACACCCTCCATCCGAGGAGTGGGGGACTGCACAGCCCCTGCCACGCGGCGGGGCACTACTGGGCCATATGCTAAAGCAACCATGCTGCAAATTTCTACTGGCCCGCAAGAGATATGAAAACGAAACAGTCCCCTCCTGAGCGCCGGAAGAGACAGAGTGGTTCACATGTAGAGTCAACTCCCCTGGCAGCGAGAGAAACAACCGAGCAATGGAGTCGAAGAACAGGGCTCTGGTGGGGTCCAAGTGCTAACGCAGAAGAGACACGCTGGAGGGGGGCTTCCTAGCGTCTTCCCACCCTAACCAGAAGCTAACGGCAGGATCTCTCACCACACAAGAGCCATAGCCCTCCACTGGCAGCCAGCAGCAACGATCTCCGTTTGCAGCTAGAATGACGGTGGCTATCTAGGACAGCCTACACCCAGCGCTATCCCTAACAGCGACCAAGGGTGCGCGAGGCAGCTCCCCAGCCAGACCGACCACAGGTGCTTACCAAGTAATGTTAGTCAGGCCCTGCCAGGGGGTAAGATGCCATAGCCAGGGGAGAGATACAGTCATCAGATCCGGGGTTACTCAGGAAGTAGGGCTTGTGGAAAACTTTCCACCAAAACTGGTTTTGATGGAAACCTGGCTTTCTGAGGTCACGAACGCTTTTGCGGAAAGTGTCTGCTTGCCATGGGAAATGTTAACTTCTCATCAAAAACCCCCAATGCATGAAAACTGGCACCTGAAATATTTCAACTTGGATATTTCAGTTTCCAGCCAAAACATTTCGGGTTTCATCTCCTCACTGAAAAGCTGAAATTGCGATTAAAAAGAAGGATTTGTTGCTCTTTGTAGGACCAGCCCCGTTCCCTGCCCAGCCCTATCAGTGAAGGTTACAGCATAGCATGGCACAACACAGTAACAAAGGGGTCCGTTATCTCGTAGCCAGCTTAGACATCCCATAGCACCCAGCACTGTAGAATCCAGGACAAGGGTAACCAGGCATTGCAAACAAGCCCCCGGTTTGTACATCTCCTGCTTGGGGCTTTCTAAAACCCCACCCTTCCTCACGGCCATGCTAAGATCTCCAAAGCCGTTCAGGGAGGCACCATTACAAAAGGTTCATGGGAAAAGCTCTGATTTCCTTCCCCCTTTGCTGCAGAAAGCCCCAGCGCTAGCAACATCCTTACCAGGCAATCCTGGAGGGCCGGGAAGGCCCGACTCACTAAATGCCTGAAAAGATAGAAACAGCATCACTTTAAAACAAAGCACACTTGCCAGGCATTCTGCCACGTGCTACAGCCAAGGTCTCCCCAATGATGCTACGTTAGACCATGTGCCAAGCATGTGCACAGAACCTCCCCTCTTGCTGGGACTCTCCCTGCCAGCAAGCAGAGCTCACTGGTTCCTCTGCGTTTCCCAGCCACCTCGTTAGTGAGCGCCATGATCGCTGGGAGTCCAAGATCCTGCCGCCTGCCCAGTCCCACATGCTGTGCGCAGGCCTGGTGAAGTCACTGGGCTGTGGGGCTGCCCAGTGTGCAGGGGGCAGAATCTGGGCCTAGATTTCACTCTCGGCTTTCAGAGCAGGGTGGGGTGTTTGCTTACTCTGGGTTTAGGACTGCACAGTGCCTGCGAGGCTAAACCAATGACAGGCTGCCACGAACGGCCACTGCCCAGCCCTGGGGAAGGCTTTGCTCGGCCGCTACAGGGGATGGCAGGCTCCATGCTCCCACCACCCCGTTACTGGGCAGGCCCAGGGGGTGCTTGGCTGGTCCCGGTTTCTAGGTGGATTTACCCTGAAGTTGCTGAGAAAGGCAGAGAAATAAACAGGGGGCCCTGGGCCCCTGGAGACGCGGCTCACTGCTCTGCGGAGCTGGACACGGCACCTTCTGCACAGTGCTCTGGGAAAGAGGCTCCTCCTCTGGCTGGACGATGCCGCGAGACAAGCTAGCTATCGGGCAGGCTAGCTAACCCAGCGGGTACAGCATGCAGCACGTGCTCAGGCTGTCGTCCTTCAACAGCTCCCAAGCACACGGCCTGTTAGCCCCCCTCCTCAGTTGTGCTCATGGAATAAGTGCTCCTGGACATGGCCGCCTCGTGAAAGCACCCCTCTGTGCCCATCGGTGTGCCTGCCGCCAAGCACACAGGGGGCTGTAAAGAGCGGGAACACCTTCCATGGCCCTGGCCATCGTGTGACCCCGACCCCAGAGCATGGTGTGATGATGTGCCAGGACTGTTACTCACGTTATTGTCGTAGATGGACACTACACTGCCAGGGGCACCTGGGGGCCCGGGGAGACCCGGAGGACCCTGCAGAGAGAGGAAAGAGTTCATTGGGTTCCAAGAGGCTGGACTGATGCAGTCAGCCTGAGGGTCTTACTCCTCCGCAGACTAACCAAGACCCCCACTGTGGGTCTCTGCCCAATACAGCTGGACGCAGACACCCACGTCTCCAAAAGCACCTGGACACCTCCGCCCCTGAATGCCCAAACGGAGACGCGGAAGGCCTGGCCAGAGCGGGTGGTGGTGGCAGCGAAAGGGGGGCGAGGGTTTCAGTCAGCCATTGGCATCCATCACGGTCCCCTTCCCCCTGCCCTCTCTGCACAGGACTGGCTCCCTGCTGGCACATGCCACGCAGCACCCAGTAGCGTGTCGGCGAGGGGGGGACAGCAGCAGAGCGCCCGTGACTGATGGCTGTTTCCCTCAGGGCCCTCCGCTCCTGGAGCCCGCACAGCAGTAGCTAGGCTGGGACACGTGGGGACGGCTGCCCCTGGCCCACATGCCTGTTTCCTTTCACAAAGCAAACCAAGCTCCACGCCGACAACATGGGCACCCCCAGCCCAGCCCTCCGGCCCTCTCCCCGGCGCCAGCTCTAAGGACAGGGCGGGTGCCCTGACCCCCAGCATCCAGGGGTCGTCACCACACCACAATCCATCACCTCCTCTCTGATTGGCTGGCTGTGGGGTTTTTGGGTGCTGTGGCGGTTGGGGGACCTGAAAACGTTTTCCACCCTGGGCTGCTCTTGCCAGCATCCCTGTCCTCCATCCACCCCCCAGCCCAGCCCTCCCCTCTCACTCATTAAACCTGTGTGGTGCCTCTTCCCCATGCTGGGGTGGTTGCCCTCTGCACAGCGCCAGGGCAATGCGGCAGGCCATTGCCAAAGCCAGCTGCAGCACCTCCGGCATGCCATCGTCCCCCAGGGCACTCACCTGCAAGCCGAGCCCTCCGGGGTCCCCCTTCTCGCCCTTCAGTCCGTTCATGCTGGGACGGCCCTGCAGACAAACATCGAGTCCAGGGTTCAGAATGGAGTAACTTATTGTAGACACTGCTCACTCCCACAGCTGGGCTGACTCCAGCTGAGGGCACCACACCACACACGGCGCCCAAGGAGGGCCTTCTTAGGCTGCACTCCTCTCGCTAAATCAGAAGGGAAAATGCCCCTGGGAGGGCGGGGAACATGCCCCCAACGAATCGGAGACGTTTGCGAGCCCCCAAACTCTACCAGTTCACGTACTTCTCCTGACCAGTGCTCTGACCATCCAGTCTGAGCTCCCGTACAGCACAGTCCAGAGACCTGCCCCACAGTAATTCCCAGCGCAGAGCTGGCAGAAAAGCAGCCGATGTTGGTTTAAAAATGGCCTGTGCTGGAGAATCCACCACGACCCTTGGGAAATCGTTCCAGTGGTTAATTACTGTCACTGTTATAAACGTACACCTTATTTCCAGTCTGAATTTATCTGGCTTCAACTTCCAGCCATTGGAGCGTGTCAGAGCTTTTCTCTGCTAGACTAAAGAGCCAGTCATTAAACATTTGTTTCCCATGTAGGCACTTACAGACTGTGATCAAGTCACCCGTTCACCTTCTCTTAGGTAAGCTACATAGATTGAGCTCCATGAGTCTATCACTATAAGGCAGGTTTTCGAATCCTTTAATCATTCTCGCGGCTCTTCTCTGAACCTCTCCAATTTATCAACATCCTTCTTGAATTGTGGGCACCAGAACCAGACACAGGATTCCAGCACTGTTCGCACCAGTGCCAAATACAGAGGCAAAATATCCTCTCTACTCCCACTCAAGAGTCCCCTGTTTATGCATCCCATGATAGCAATTGCTCAGCTTGCTTGTGAGCATCTGGAGAAAACACGACCACAGCAAGAGCTCTCCAAGTGAGCCAAGCTGTGCAGCATTGCCAGTATTCCTCATTAGCCTCAGCATGGGGGTATCTCCACTTCTTTCAGCCAGGGAGGCAAGGGGGCAGTGCTGGCTAGTGAAAGGAGCACCAGACCCAGCTCACCCAGGGAACAAACCAGAGACAAGTTAAGAGAAGTTCTTACCGGTCTGCCAGGAAAGCCGATTTCCCCCTTCTGTCCAGGTTGTCCATGCCGGCCCTAAAGGGGAGAGCAGGAAAGGAACACACCCTCAGACTGCACACCCATGCAGGAAAGACAGGGGCAGAAACAGGGGGATAAGAGGTGCAGCTGGCTCTGTGCTGAACTACTAGCTACAAAGGACAAAGGACACTGGAGTGGAAAAGCCTGGCCATGCTTCATTCCTTTGTCCTCAGCATGCACCTCCTGGCTCTGTGCATTCCTGAGTCCATCAGAACAGCCACACTGGGTCACACCGACGGTACATTCAGCCCAATAATCTGTCTTCCAACCATGGCCAGAGCCAGGTGCTTCTGGCAGTCGGAGGTTTAGGGATACCGAGAGTGTGGGGTCGTGTCTCTGACCATCTTAACTAATAACCATTGACAGACCCATCCTCCATGAACCGATCTAGTTCTTTTGTGAACCCAGTTATACTTTAGCCGTTACAACATCCCCTTGCAGTGAGTTCCACTGGTTGACTGTGCGTTGTGTGAAGAATTACTGCCTTTTGTTTTAAACTTGCTGCCTATTAATTTCATTGGGTGACTCCTGGTTCTTGTGTTATGTGAAGGGGTAAACAGCACATCCCTAAGCACTTTGTCTGCATCATTCATGATTTTACAGACCTCTGTCACATCCTGCTCTTTAGTCATTGCTGAACAGTCCCTGTCTTTTTAACTTCTCCTCATATGGAAACTGTTCCATACCCTTAGTCATGTCTGTCACCTTTCTCTGCACCTCTTCTCATTTGGGTATCTTCTTTGAGATGGGGAACCAGAACTGCACACAATATTCCAGATGTGGGTGTACCATGGATTTATACAGTGGCATTACGACATTTTCTGTTTTATTATCCATCATTTTTCTTATGGTTCCTAACATTGTTATCTTTTGTTGACTGCTGCTGCACATTGAGTGGATGTTCTCAGAGAACTACCCAAAATGACTCCAATATCTCTTTCTTGAGTGGTAGCAGTTAATTTAGACCCCATCATTTTATATGTAGAGTTGGGATTATTTTTTCCTATGTGCATTACTTTGCACTTATCAACATTGAATTTCATCTGCCATTTTGTCACCCAGTTTTGTGAGATGCCTTTGTAACTCTTTGCAGTCTGCTTTGGACTTAACTATCTTGAGTAGTTGTGTATCGCTTGCCAATTTTGCCACCTCACTGTTTACCCCTTTTTCCAGATCATTTAGGAATATGTTGAATAGGACTGGTCCCAGAACAGACCCCTGGGGGACACAGCTACTTATCTCTCTCCATTCTGAAAACTGACCATTTATTCCTACCGTTTGGTTCCTATCTTTTAACCAGTTACCAATCCATGAGAGGACCTTCCCTCTTATCCCATGACTGCTTACTTTGCTTAAGAGCTTTTGGTGAGGGACCTTGTCAAAGGCTTTCTGAAAATCTAAGTACACTATATCCCCTGGATCACCCTTGTCTACATGCTTGTTGACCCCCTCAAAGAATTCTAGTAGATGGGTGAGGCATGATTTCCTTTTACAAACACCATGTTGACTCTTCCTCAACAAATTATGTTCATCCATGTGTCTGACAATCTTGTTCTCTACTATAGTTTCAACCAATTTGCCCGGTACTGAAGTCAGGCTTACCGACCTGTAATTGCTGCGATCAGCTCTGGAGCCCGTTTTAAAAATTGGATTCACATTAGCTATCCTCCAGTCATTTGGTACAGAAGCTGATTTAAATGATAGGTTACAGACTACAGGTAGTAGTCCTGCAATTTCACATTTGAGTTCCTTCAGGACTCTTGGGTGAATCCCATCTGGTCCTGGTGACTTATTACAGTTCAGTTTATCAATTTGTTCCAAAACTTCCTCTAATGACACCTCAATCTGGGACAGTTCCTCAGATGTGTCACCAAAAAGGAATGGCTCGGGTGTGGGAATCTCCCTCACATCCTTTAGGGGGAAAATGTATGCAAATAATTTAGTTTCTCCAAATAGCTTTGTCTTCCTTGAGCGCTCCTTTAGTCTCTCCATCACCTAGTGGCCTCACTGCCTATTTGGCAGGCCTCCGGTTTCTGATGTACTTAAAATTTTGTTGCTATTAGTTTTTGTGTTCTTAGCTAGTTGCTCTTCAAATTCTTTCTTGGTCTGCCATATTATACTTTTACACCGGACGTACAGAGTTTATGCTCTTTTCTATTTTCCTCACTAGGATCTGACTTCCACATTTTAAAAGGAGGCCTTTTTGCCTCTAGCCACCTCTAGCTCCCCTGTCCTTAACGGCTGGGCCTGTCCTGCAGCTCAGATAGTGCACGTGAGTTGTGGGCATTGCTCAGCACCGATTCACAGACACCCAGGTTGGAGGCCACACGCTTGCTCCTAGCAATTTGACCCTGGCTATAGAGTCAGAAGGGCTCCAGAGCAAGCTCTGGGGTTTGCCAAACCCTTGATTCCTCTGGCCGACGGCCCCGTGTGGGGCTTGCTAATGAGCACTCACTCTGAGCACCACCCACTTGGGCTGGTGTTTCTGTCGCAGATCCAACTTCAGTACGTCTCAAACCAGTTCTGAGCAAGACAAAAGGAGGCTGCTCCCGAGTATGAAGACCATCCCCTGAACACACAATCTGTTTGCGTGACCCCCAGTTGTAGTGAGCACCTGGCACACGACGAGCGTGAAAAGCCATCCCTTACTGACAGAATGCTAGAAAGATGTAGGTGCTAACTTACCGCTGGGCCCATGGGTCCCACGAGCCCCTGCTCACCCTGTGTGCAAAGAACAGGAAAAGAATTAGCATTATGATGCACATGTGGCCACCCACAGCCTCTTCCTGGGGCTATTTCTCCATCACCCCCATGCTGATGTCACCTCCCCATCTAGGGGTGCTGCGGCCCCCCCTGAGCAGTGGGAAGGAGAATGCAGCAGGCTGTGCCTCCCCTGTAGCCCCCAGCACCGCCCACCCTGAGCACAGCTGCTGACAGTGCTCACGCACCGCCGACAGATACAGGGGCCCTGGGACATTTGGGGAATTGCGTCCGCGTTGTCGACAACACGCCCGACTGCCCTGCAACCTCTCTAACCATGAGCCAGCCTCAAACTCTCCTCGCTCCTGCAGTGAGCTGACCTCCCTCGGCAGGATCGGCCCTGGCAGCTGTTGGGGGGGCCAAAGGGCAGGGACGGCTCAGTGCCCTGGCTAAGCATCGGAAGGAGGTGGGGGGGGGTTGAGCTGAAGGAGATGGGTGCAGGGACAGAGCAATGTAGGCCAGTGGTTGTTGGCGGTCACAGTGCAGTGAGTCATGGCCAGCTGCAGCCCCAATTTCCCAGGCTGGCATGGGGACTGGGTGTGAGTCCTCACTGCATCCCCCGGCTGCTCAGTGTAGCCACTGCCCCCCCAGAGGCAGAGAAACCTTCATGTGAAACTAGCCCCTGCCCTGGGGCTGGCCACCCCTGACTTCCCAGGGCGTGGCGCTCCACCCTGCCCTGGAGCGCCCAACGCTGGGTGAGCACCCAAAGCAGGCCAGGGGAGAGCCCGAGTCCGTGCGTGACCTTGTCTCCTTTCATGCCGGCCGAGATGCCCGTCCCATCTGGGCTGATGATCGCTCCAGGCTCTCCTTTCTCACCCTTCCAGCAGGAGATAAAACAAGCAGGAGTCAGAAGAGAGACAATCCAGCCCCTGCCCAAACAGCTGCCTTCCCACGGCTCTCTGCGGCTGCCCAGGTGGCAAAGGAGAGCTGCTCTCAGAGTTTCTCTAACAGTTAAATACAAGCCCATGAGCGTCACAGAGGGCTACGCTCCAGCGGTGAACTCACCCTGGGTGGGGCGGTGCTCTGCTGCCCGGCCCAAGAGCAGACTGTGACCTAAGAGAGGTATGGCTGACAAACGGAGGGGGACTTTTGTCCCTTTCCTTTGCTTCTCTCTGGGCTCCCAGTGTGGGAGACCACAGTTTACCGTAGTAAAGTGTCATTGCTAAAGACTGGGGCTAACGAAAAATAATGGCACAAATTACTCATAGATTCTTAGGTCAGAAGAGACCACGGTCATCATCCAGTCTGAGCTCCTGCACAGCACAGGCCAGAGACCTGCGCCACAATAATCCCTAGAGCAGAGTTTATAGACAAACATCCAATCTGGATTTAAGAAGTGCCAGTGATGGAGAATCCATGACCGTTGGTAAGATGTTCCAATGGTTCATTGTCCTAATGGTTAAAAATGTACACCTCATTTCCCGTTTCAATTTGTCTAGCCTCAACTTCCAGCCATTGGATCCTGTTAGACCTTTCTTGGCTAGATTATCAAATATTTGTTCCCCATGTTTTGTCACCCAGGTAATCAAGCCACCCCTTAACCTTCTCTAAGTTAAAGAGGTTGAGCTCCGTGAGTCTATCACTAATTTTTTAATCATTCTCGTGGCTCTTCTCTGACCCCTCTCCAATTCATCAACATCCTTCCTGAATTGTGGGCACCAGACCTGGACACAGGATGGAAGCAGCGGTGGCAGGGGTAAATACAGGGGTAAAATAACCTCTCTCCTCCTACGCGAGATTCCCGTCTCTGCATCCCAGCACCGCACAGCTCAGTTTGCTCAGCTCCATTGTGAGCATCAGGGGACAGATGCAAGAGCTCTAGCACAGCAAGAGCTCCCTGAGCCAAGCTGGGGCTCCTCGCGGCATCATGGAAACCCCATGACTGGAGACATTCAGAACAAGACTCAACGAAAGGCAGCAGGGAGCAGTCCTGCAGCAGCAGTGGGGATGGAGGGATGGGATAAGCCAGTAGGTGATTTTACACCCGGCATTTCTGTCATTCCGCTGGGTTCACTGGGACCCTGCTGCTGGAAGGAGCACAGCTGTTCTCCTATTACTCTCCTGGGATCTGGTGACGCCTCACAGAGCAACGGCCGCCAGCATGGTAGCTCAGGTACCTGACCCAATATGAATTTCCATGCCCCAAGGAGTCCAAGGCCAGTGCTGTGACAGGATTGTGTCTGGTCCCTTCCACTACGAACTGGGAGCCGGTGAGTACCCATCGGTGGGGCTGGGAGTCAGAGAGCAGGAACTTGTAGACACAAGGAACATCACATCGCCACAAATCAAAATCACCCAGTGAGCACTAGGGACAGAGACAAGCAGACAGGCCAGCCTACCTTTGGTCCTGGAGTGCCTGGGAAACCTGGCTCTCCTGAGTCTCCTTTAGCTCCCACTGGGCCCTGCAAACGGAAGCAGGGAGGAACAGCCATGAAGACAGTGTAGTGATGCAGGACACTCCTTTACTTCCAGTACTGTGGGCTTCCCCCAGGGGGGCTGGAACAATCTGTACAGTGGGGGTGCTGAGAGCCATTGAACCAAACTGTAAACCCTGGATATGATGGAGTCCACTTCAAGCCATTACCCCTAGTTCCAGCACCTATGACTTCTTCCAAGGTGGGGCAGGCAGGGAGACACCTTCCCAGGGGTTAGAAAGCTCAGGCCCACAGAAGATGTTCGCAGCTTGCTTCACAAGCAGCCTGGTTGCTTTGGCAGGCAGGAGTTTGCACTTAATGTATTTGGCCAAAAACACCCAAACAAACGTCTGCAATGTATCACTGCAGGCAAATGTACCGTGTGGCCCCAGCGTGTCTCGCACAGCCTGTGTCGCGAGCGCGTCTCCACAGACAATGTTACTCAGCCGTGTAAACCCTTAAAGCTCTTGAAAGTGACGGGAATCGAAATGAACCTCAGCTCTGGCCCAGTCACAAGCAGGCCTCCACAAACGCCCCGACCCACCATCTGACAGAGTCGGTGTCTCGTGGGTGCCATGTTAGGAACAGGGAAGAGGCCAGCTAGTGTATGCCGGCTTTGACTCCAGTGGGGCTACACGGGGGATTTACATCAGCTGGGGATCTGGCTCAGAGAGAAACTCAACATTTAGCTCCAGGTCCAGGCTGTGAACACCCCGGATTGGTGGGTGTCTGGATCTGGGGGGATGGTTTGGGCTCCCACCGGGGACATGGGCTCCTCAGCACGGGGCCCAGGTAACTTTCCCATTCTCAGGGCTCTGTCAGTAAAACCATAAAGCTACTCACCGGGAAGCCAGCTTGGCCTTGTCTGCCCTGAGGAAAGAAACAGACACCTGTAAACTCTCTCTCCTCAGGCACTGGGAGAAGTGTAAAACCGTTGGTGCACAAAGGAGACTGCTGGGGCTGCTGGCGGGGCAAATGGCAGGGGGATGCTCAGGACTACGTACCTCAGGGCCTGGTAAACCAGCTAATGCTTTCTGAAAAGGAAAAGATACATATTAGACCACGGACCCCCGCTATCTTCCTCCTGCCTACCTCAGCGATGCCCAGAACTGACTTTCCGCCAAGGGAGGGGCTGACCCAAAGCCCCCTGGGGTCAATAGGAGACTTTGCACTAACTTCAGCCGGCTTTGGCTCAGGTCCACTTGCTAAGGGCGATGCTTGCTTGCTAAGGGCGATGTGCCCTCTCCCAGCGTGAAATGCCCCCGCTGAATTCGGAAGGCCATGCCGATGGGTTTGGTCCTTTCCACTTAGTGCCACTTATTCCCTCTCCCACTGACATGCTTTTATCCTCTCTGCTGCACGCAGCCATTGTGTCAGGGCCTGGAGCCACAGGCCCTGTGCTGAAGATCTCACCATTTAAAACAGTTAGAGATAACCAAGCAAGCTGTCTGAGCCGTTAGGAACATAGCCTAAGACAGACCTCTGCCCATTTACTCAGTTTAGCTTCTGTTTAACCGTCCCATCAGTTTGTTCTAGCCCATGTCTTTAATCAGTCATTCACACGTCCAGGGGCACACGCGCGTCCTGTCGTCGTGTTCAGGGTGAACATGGGTGGCGCTGGGCTGGGCTGGATTTCCTGCGGTGTACTTTTAGTTATAGCACTGGCCTGGTCTAGCTCCCATTTGTCTGCGTTTCAGCTCCAGCCAGCTCTGACTTCCCTTTGCCTAAACCCTCCCCTCTCTTCTTTCCTCTGCCAGCCCCTGCTGGAGCTCCCTGCCCTCCCACCTGGCCCTCTGAACAGTGCTAACGTTCACACAGCTGAGTATGCAAAATGGCAACGGCCTCCACTCGCACGGGTCTCGATCCTGCAACTGGAGGAGGACAGGCAGCAACTGGCCCCTGCCCGGAGCCCTGCCCAGGCACGAGGTGCAGCAGGGCATTGCCACTTGCAGGGCTGGCCCACGCGTTGCTTCTCTGAACTCACAGGGGTATCAGCGTGTGGGAGCGCTCTCAGTTTCGGGGCTTTTACTCCGAGTTAAACAGGTGCCTCTCCCCAGGGAGCAGCTCCACAGCCCGGAGCAGTCCCGCCAACAGTGACACACCTGCTGACGTGCACTCAAACGCAGCCCGGCTCCAAGCTGCATGAGCCGTGGGATGCTGGGGCCCCAGCTGGGGGTCAGCACCAGCCCATAGTAACTCACCAGTGCCCGGCGGGCACAAGGTGCTGCTCAGCCGGGTGCTAAGCCTGAGGGAACTGGCACACAGCAGCCGGTTGTGACTGCTGCCAGAGTGTGGGCAGAGAGGGAACAGCCTGGGCAGAGGGGGCCCAGAGACAGGAGTGCAGGCCGCAGGGGAGACGCGTCCTTACCTCTTCACCCGACGCATAGATGACCTGCCCCGGGGGTCCAGGGAGCCCAGGGGGGCCTGGGGAGCCCACTCCATCTTGGCCTCGTTCACCCTGAGAAAGACAATTCAGTGCAGGCTTCCTTCCTACTGCACCCAACCTCAGCCCACACGGCCCCCTCTCGCAACTGCAGGGCCTGCCCCCCCTTACAACCGTTGGCGCAGGCCCCCGAGCCCAGACTGTGCCTCCCCCACCTTGCCCCCATGGTGCTAGGCCCATGAACCCAGACGGCGCCCCCCACCTCGCCAGGCCCCCGATCCCAAACTGCACCCCTTCCAGCCCGATGAGGCTGGGTTCCCAATCCTAGCCTCCCCCCGCCGCCCTGAGCAGCTGGGGGTGGAGACAGAGCTTCGTGATCAGAGCAGCCCAGAGGCTGGTGGGCCAGAAGCTGGGCTGGGCCGGCATGGAGGGAAGGGAGCCAGCCAAGCAGGGATGAGACACTGTTCAGAATCAACAAGGGACCAAAATACGCACACAGATGCCACCCCTGAACCAGAGCAGAGCTCAAGGGGCTGGGGGAGATCGCGCCGTGTGCTCCCCAGAGAACAGCAGCGTGCCCCAGCACCCAGCACAGTACTCACCTTAGCCCCCTGGATGCCCTTGTCACCTTTGGGTCCCTGCAACGAGAAGCGGAGGTGAGAGCTGCTCACCTCCGGGCCCAGGAGAGAGACACAACACAACACACAATCTTCACATTGCTAGGGTGGCCTCTGAATCCACACTCCAGGCATCAAGTGGCAAAGTGCCAGCCTGGCAGAAGGGGCAGGCTCTGGTACCTACGAGGGTCTAGCGCTCACTTTAGAGACAAACTGGTCCTGCCTCCGCCGTCACGGGAACAGCAGGGGAGCTGGTCCAGAGAGAGCAAAGAGACAGAACAGGCTCAAATGTCCCGGGACGTCTCCTGTGGCTACCAGGCTGTCCCCATTCGCGACCGTGCGGCGAGGGACAGCCCTGGCGGGAACGGCGCCATCACACAGGCGAGCCGCACGAATGAACCAGGAACGGAGGAGCTGAGCCTGACGAGGTAACCAAATGGGGTGAAACAGTCCTCCTTGGGGCTAGCGGGAGTTTCAGCTCTGCTGATGAGAACGCCCATGCCTCTTGGCATGGCCCATCCTGTCCCCAGGAGAACAGCAGATGCGCCCCAGGATCTATCTGCTAATGGAGTTTATACACCAGTGCAGTCTCTGCACCTGGGGCAGGGCAGGGCACCAAAAGGAATCGGAAACCTGGCCAAACACAGAGCAGAATGGGACCCTCTGGAGTGCTGGGGGTGTGGGCAGGGACAGCGCGTGGAAGAGATGGGAACCGGGCAGGGGTGGGAAGCGATGGCCAGTGACGGGCTGTGAACAGGCCAGGCAGGTCTGCTCAGCCGACGGAGAGCAACTCAGATGCATTTCATTGGTCTGCAGCGAGGACTTCAGTGACAGGGCAAGGGACACCTGACATTTGCCGCTGGGGAGCAGAACATCGGTATGTGTCACTTGAACGGTACATAGCAGTGAGAACAATCCAGGCCCTGCATCCGCAACCAGCGCGTGCTGAAATCGCCCCACTGCAAACACCTGGGCAGGGGCTCTGAGAATAACAGAGACTCCAGAGTCCACAAAGAGCAGTTAGGGTGGGTCAGGGAGCTGGAATCCCAACACTCACCTGAGGTCCTGGGAAACCTTCCAGCCCTGGGCGCCCATCCACACCTGGAGCCCCGTGGTCCCCCTGGAACACACAGACAACCATAGCACATTGAGACTTTGCTTTTGGCACTGAGAGCCTTGGTCTTTGGGGGTGTGACTCGCATTCCAACAGTCCAGAGTCTGGCTGCCACAGGGCCCCACCCAGCTCTAGGCAGACCCCCTAAGCGACCACACAAGGGTTTTGGGTGGATTCTGTGTCACAAAACCACACACTTTACAAATCTGCGTGATGACACTGTTGAGCATTTTGAAATATCAACCTGTCATTCCATCTCACCACCCCGTCCACCCAGAACCAGTAAGAGTGCGTGTGATCTGCTGCATACAAAATTAAGTTCTAATCTACGAAATGCATGTATTTAACACTTGCTACAGCCATCAGTACCTATGTATTTGAATCACAGGCGTACAGGAGGAGGGGAGTCGGGGCAGCCCTTGATTTTCATTAGATATACCGACCACTCTTTTAATGTGAAAAATATTCAGCGCATTATAAATATATTCAAAAAGAAGAATATTTTGAAACAAATTCTTAACATTGGAATCATTCTAAATGATTAGTGATCTCCCTCATTCAGACCACAGCTGAGTGCCCCACTATGTCATTGCTTGTCATCTCCCAAAGCTAAAGCTGATTTTGTCAGGTCATTGCTACACACCAGACCTCCCTGCCTTGCACAGAACTTGCTCCATGGCAGTTTGGCGCGGTTGCATACGCATCTCATAGATTTACAAAGTGCATTACTCTCACAAGAGCGCTTGTTTAACTTCAAAATATCCGGAGAGCAAGCACGGCACTGTCTGCTACGGTTTTTGGAAGGAGAGATTTGTCAGGGCGGATCCATCCCTAATGGATTCCAAACACTTTTACCCACACACGCATGGAGAGGTGCTCATTTTCCATTTTCTTTACATGCTTCGGTTACTGAGGGTAAGGAGCTGAGCTCTGGTGGTACCTTTGCCAATTCTTGCTGCCCGATTTCTGCCCTGTGTCCGACGTGGTGGCACAATTTGAGTGCCTGCAGCAGGCAGCCATGAATTTGGTTGCCTGTTCGATGACACCAGGCTCTGCTGCACTGATGTCACCCCGCAGAGAGAGGGAGCATCTAGCACACAGAATCTTCAACACAGTGCCTTTGCCAAGGCCATACTAGTTAGCTACTGTATCACAGCCTGAGTGCATGGGGAGCTAACAGCCCTGGTACAAGGTGAGCCTGTTCCTAATTAGCAGTAGCATGGACGTCTAGTCCAGCTCTCCCTTGGATTGAGGGGGTTCCAAGCTCACTAAAGATATTGCACCCTGTTTGCAGTAACGGTGCAGGAGCGAGACAAATACGTCAGTGTCGTCTGATAACACGGATATTCCCACCAGTTCCTCTTTCGTGACCATCACCATTTGTTGTACAAGGATGCTGTCGGCCTCCTCATAAGAGATGGCCATATCTTCTCGGTTGATCACCACACCTCCCTGGTTTATTTCAATCGGGCTGCCATCTCTGCCTGTGACGATTAGCTTGTGCTTTAGTATGAGTCGTTAAACTTCTTGTCTTGAATGAGTTCTATACAAATCTTATCAATCAACTGCGTCTTATTTTCAGTAACCATCAAGACAATTTTCTGTGGAGGTGTGACAGAGTGTGCTGAAAGAAAAGGAGAACTTGTGGCACCTTAGACACTAACAAATTTATTTGAGCATAAGCCACAGGGTTCTATCACACCCGCCATAGAAAAAGAGCAGCAAAGAAGCCCTCCAAGCGGCCTAGAGAGACTGTGCAGGGAGCAGCAAATCAGAGGGTTGCAGACCCATTTAGAAGGCGCTGTAGAGTGAGAGTCAGACAGTTGCTGCCTGGAGTTGGAGGAGTGAGGACTGTGTTCTGGGCTGGCTAAAGGAGCAGCACCACAGACAGATCAGATGCTGGCAGGGACCAGGGGAGTAAGAGAGAGGTCCTCACTGGCTGCTGGGACTGAGAAAAGGACTTTGGCCCTACAGTAAGGGTGAAGCATTTGTGAAGGTGCTGGAGCGGGGGAGTGGGCCAGGGAACCTAGCAGCACAGTGATTAATTAAAGGGGTTTTGTTTTGTTGAAAGGCCACAGACTGTGTGTGAGACTTGGCTGGAGGGCTGAGTCACTGAAACCGCCTGAGAAACCAGCAACAGAGGTCACCACAGACTGAGGGAGGTGCAGATGCACACCCAGGCAGGGGGTGCTCACAAGAGGTGCGTACCACCTTGTTGCAGGAGGTAGCTGTGTGCTTATATTCAACAGATGCACTTCCGTTTGTTTCTGTAGCTCTGCTAGATCTTACGACCCTCTCTGTGCTGAATTCTTGGAACCTGCCAAAGACAAGATACACATTACCTGCCGCTAGCTTGTGCTCAAGGCGGACTTTGAAACTGGTCATAAAGTCCTTGAATAGATAAAGGCTAGTGTCCAATAAAGTCCTTGAATAAAGTCCTTGAATAGATAAGGCTAGTGTCCAATACCAACCCGTACATGCTTTTTTTGGTCACTGCCAGTGTCTCCACTACCCTTGACATTGTGCCATACAACCACCTGGGCCAGCTACGTTCAAATTCTGGCATTTGGTGAACAGCACGTGTAAGCATGCGTTCACTCATTGTTTGTGGCGTCTCCTGCTGGCTGTCCTGGGAATTAGCTCCGCCAGTCTTGCGCTCTCCCTCCAGTGGTGTCTTCCCCCACCTTGTCTCACTCCGTGGCCCTGCTCACTCCAGGATCAGCAGTCTTCCCTTCGTGGCTTGGCCTCTGGCCAAGTCACTAAGGTCCTCCCCTGCCGGGGAATTCAAAGTCTTTTCAGACCCACTGTCTGGCTGGTGTCTCCCATATCCTGGCCACTCCCCAGTGACTGGTTGGGGAACCCAGGCCCACCCTCTACACTGGGTTCTAGTCCAGGAACCCTGTAACAAGCAGCCATAGTCCGGGTACAGTCCTATGCCTTGCTGCTGTTTCTCTGGGCTTCTTCCTACCTATCTGGCTTCCCCACTCTCTGGGTTTGCCAGCCTCCAACTCTCTCCCCTCAGAGAGACTGCAGCCTACCCGAGCACCAGCTCCCATCTGCAGTCAGTTACCTGGTGTTATACAGGAAGAAGAGGTGGGTGAGGCTTTTTTTAAACAACTAACACAATCAGCCAAAGCCCAAGACTTGGTGGTGATGAGGGACTTCAGGTACTTAGACATCTGTTGGGAAAATAACACAGCAGGACCCAGATTATCCAACAAGTTCTTGGAATGTATAGGAGACCATTTTTTATTTCAGAAGGTGGAGAAAGCTACAAGGGGAGAGGCTGTTCTAGATTTGATTTTGACAAATAGGGAGGAACTGGTTGAGAATTTGAAAGTGGAAGGTAGCTTGGGTGAAATGATAGAATTCATGATTCTAAGGAATGGTAGGAAGGAGAACAGCAAAATAAAGACAGTGGATTTCAAGAAGGCAGACTTTAGCAAACTCAGGGAGTTGGTAGGTAAGATCCCATGGGAAGTAAGTCTAAGGGGAAAAACAATTGAAGACAGTTGGCAGTTTCTCAAAGAGACTTTACTAGGGAACAAGAGCAAACTAGCCTACTGCGTAGGAAAGGTAGGCTGTATGGCAAGAGACCACCCTGGCTTTACCAGGAGATCTTCAATGATCTAAAAATCAAAAAAGAATCCTACAAAAAGTGGAAATTAGGTCAAATTATAAAGGATGAATATAAACGAACAACACAAGTATGTAGGAACAAAATTAGAAAGGCCGAGGCACAAAACGAGATCAAACTAGCTAGAGACACAAAGGGTAACAAGAAAACATTCTACAAATACATTAGAAGCAAGAGGAAGACCAAGGACAGGGTAGGCCCGTTACTCAATTGCCGGGGGGTAGGGGGGCTTGCGCAGGGGAAATAAGAACAGAAAATGTGGAAATGGCAAAGGTGCTTAATGACTTCTTTGTTTCGGTTTTCACAAGAAGGATGGTGGTGACTGGACATCTAACATAGTGAAAATGAGGTAGGCTAGAGGCTAAAATAGGAAAAGAACAAGTTAAAAATTACTTAGATAAATTAGTTGTCTTCAAGACAACAGGGCCTGATGAAATACATCCTAGAATACTCAAGGAGCTCACTGAGGAGATATCGGAGCCATTAGCGATTATCTTTGAAAAAAGTCATGGAAGATGGGAGAGATTCCAGAAGACTGGAAAAGCGCAAATCTAGTGCCCATCTATAAAAATGGAAATAAGGACAACCCAGGGAATTACAGACCGGTCAGCTTAATTTCTGTATCCAGAAAGATAATGGAACAAATAATTAATCAATCAATTTGCAAACATCTAGAAGATAATAAGGTGATAAGTAACAGTCAGCATGAATTTGTCAAGAACAAATTGTGTCAAACTAACCTGACAGCTTTCTTTGACGGGCTAACAAGCCTTGTGGATGGGGGAGGAAGCTGTAGACATGGTATATCTTGACTTTAGTAAAGCTTTTGATACTGTCTGGCATGACCTTCTCATAAACAAACTAGGGAAATGCAACCTGGATGGAGCTACTATAAGGTGGGTGCATAACTGGCTGGAAAACCGTTCCCAGAGAGTAGTTATCAGTGGGTCACAGTCATCCTGGAAGGGCATAATGAGTGGGCTCCCACATGGATCAATTTAATATCTTCATCAATGATTTAGATAATGGCATAGAGAGTACACGTATAAAGTTTGCGGATGATACTAAGCTGGGAGGGGTTGCAAGTGCTTTGGAGGATAAGATTACAATTCAAAATGATCTGGACAAAGTGGAGAAATGGCCTGAAGTAAATAGGATGAAATTTAGTAAGGACAAATGCAAAGTACTCCACTTAAGAAGGAACAATCAGTTGCACACATACAAAAAGGAAGGAGTACCCGCGGAAAGGGATCTGGGGGTGATAGTGGACCACAACTTAAATATGAGTTAACAGTGTAACAACTGTTGCAAAAAAAGTGAACATCATTCTAGGATGTATTAGCAGGATTGTTGTAAGCAAGACATGAGAAGTAATTCTTCGGTTCTACTCCGTGCTGATTAGGCCTCAACTGGAGTATTGGACTGGAGTGTCCAGTTCTGGGCGCCACATTTCAGGAAAGATGTGGACAAACTGGAGAAAGTCCAGAGAAGAGCAACAAAAATGATTAAAGGTCTAGAAAACATGACCCATGAGGGAAGATTGAAAAAATGGGGTTTGTTTCGTCTGGAAAAAGAGAAGACTGAGTGGGGACATGATAACATTTTCAAGTACATACAAGGTTGTTACAAGGAGGAGGGAGAAGAATTGTTCTTCTTAACCTCTGAGGATAGGACAAGAAGCAATGGGCTTAAATTGCAGCAAGGGCGGTTTAGGCTGGCCAATAGGAAAACTTCCTAATTGTCATGGTGGTTAAACACTGGAATAAATTGCTTAGGGAGGTTGTGGAATCTCCATCATTGGAGATTGATAAGAGCAGGTTAGACAAACACCTGTCAGGGATGGTCTAGATAACACTTAGTCCTGCCACGAGTCCAGGGGACTGGACTAGACAACCTCTCACGGGCCCTTCCAGTCCAGTGATTCTGTGTCACCATGGCTGCAGCTATACCTTGTGAAGGTGGCTTCAATGTATGTATCCTATTCCTGGAACATGGTGCAAGACATCCTCATCCTTTGTGAACTGCTCTAAGACGCTATCTGGCACGGATTCCATGGGTCGCAGGTCCTATAACCCTTTCCGTGTTAGGCCTTGCTGAAGCCCTAGGCATGGTTAACAATATGAACCAAAGAAAGTCAGGTCTAAGCAGAACAGTAACACACCAGGTATTAGCTCGCCAAGCATGCACCTTCCTGACCAGAGAGCACGGTACAAGAACATCCCGCATTCTCAAGAGATAGTCTCGGGCAGACATGTGTTAGTGTCCCTGTGACCCATTGGACAGGGCGCTAGGACCATGCTTTGCTAACAATAAACCTGGCCGAGCACCTTCGCCACCAAACTGAGCCTGTGGCCTCGAGTAACACTGAGATCTATGGATCAGCAGGTGCCAACGCGGGTGCTCCCGAACAGCAGAATCGCAGCGCTCTGCAGCACGCCCAGCTCTGGGCAGAGCGGGCACGCCCAGCTGCCAGGAAGTAAGGCAGCATCAGTGTCACCGTTTCCAGATGCAGCAGCCTGTCTCCTCTCTCTACGTTTACGTACACCATCACGTCTCAGTTCGGGGCGGGGGAGGGGGAGAGGCGTACCAGCAAGGTATACTGCTAATGCAGACATCACATATGTACCTCAGCGCTAACCCTGCTCCATAGCAAGGTATTCCTCTGAAGTTTTCATTACAAATCACTGAAATCCAACAGAAGCGGTTTCATATGTCACCTGGCTTGTCAGTCAGGAGGGGCATGCTATCAAGGGCTCACTTTTCAAAATGCCCAACAGTGACAAGGGGTCAGCAGGCACGTTCTCTGAACTCAGGGTCTTGACATTCAGAATCCACAAAAAAAAACCACCCCCACAGTCTGGACACTAAAACACGGTACTGCCCAACACTTGCATTGGCTCCTGGTCTCCTCATGGACTGGGCGGGGCAGGAGTGGAGCCACCATCACTCCAGCTAGAACTTATAAGACAGGGTGCAAGATTTTCTGCAGCTCTATGAAGTGATCCTACCTTTTGTCCTGGCAAGCCAGGCAGCCCAGGGCTGCCAGTGTCCCCCTGGAAGGTAAAGAACAGTCAATCAGTAAGGAGGAGGAGCTCTCCTGCATGTAGCATGGGAAATGTGTGCTGGAAATGCACGTTTCAGAGGTTGCACAGACCACCCCATGGATCAGGCATGTGAGGGGGCCAAGGGGCTGACAGCCAAGCTACCTTTATCCATGCTATGGCTCACCAACACTGTCCTTCCTTCCGAGGCAATGATTTCTCAAGGCACAAAGGGCAGTCAGATGGCTAATTTCCAATGGCTCAGCAGGAGCCAGGCCCCTACCTGCCCTTTGTGCCTCTGGGAACCTCTGCCCAGGCTTTCAGAGCACTTTCAGATGGGGTGGAGTTTGTCCCTGCACAAAAACAGCTCCTCGCTGGAAGAGGTGCCGTCTCAGCATAAACAATTCTGCTTGGAGGCAAAGGAATAACGAATATCACGGAAAAGTCCTGGGGGGACATCCTGGCTCCAGGGAATTCAATGGCAAAACTCCCTTTGATTCAGCAGGGCCAGGATTCCTCCCCATGCGTCTCCCTTGCAGACTGGTTGTGGGGCAGCACAGCGATACCCTGTGTAATATGTACTATGAATCGGTCAGCGCTCAGAACGGACCGGACATGCGCTGGTCAGATCGACCATGCTGAAAGGCTACTGCTCAGATTTTTTGAGACAACGGCATAATATCCTAACTCCTGCTGGGCTCTCCGCTGACTTCCGCGTTCCCACGTGATCTGTTCAATGCCTATTAGAGAAGGGGGCAGGGTCGTCTGTAACACACGCCAGAGTGGAGAACGTAGGAGGGCTGGGGAAAGTTCCCCACTCTGCGCAGGAGGGGGACTCCCCCGAGAAGAGCGCTCCCCAGGGACGGGAGCTGGACCAGCCCCAGGGACTGGCCCTTCCATCAGAGGACACGTGTCACTGCACTGCTTGGCTGGGGCTGAACAGCCCAAGTCTGCTAGGGCAGACGGGTACAAACAGATTCCCAGTGGCTCCTGACCTTGAGTCCGGGGATTCCTGGTGGCCCCTGTATGAACAGTGAATAAATACAACACGGTATCAGGCGAATGAGCGCGTGTCCCCTCAGAAGCCCCTGAACCGCTGGGTACTTTGGTGTTTGTTAATAATTTCGCTACAGGAGGACACCAGCGGAGCCCCCAGGATCACACGCTGCCCCTGGGGGCGCTGTCGCTCACTCCCAGCCAGCACCAGCAGGAGATGGCTTTTCCCAGCATCCCCGTTCCCGCGCTCTGCAAACACCTGCCCCTGCTGGCTCAACACTCCCTGCCTCACAAGCTGGCCTGCCATGGGTCCGGACAGGCGCTGCCAGGCGAGCGGGCCTGCCGGGGGTCCGGGCAGGCGCTGCCTGGCAAGCCGGCCTGCTGGGGGTCTGGGAGGGGGTTGGCAGCTACAGGCTCGAGCTGCAGACATGAAGTCCATGGACCTGGGGGGGTCATTTCCTTGCTTAGCGTCCTGTGCAATGCCCGTTTCCTGGGCAGGGTGGAAGAATCCTCTGGAAGGGAGAGCCAGGGTTAACTGACGGCCAGGGGGACTTACCTGCAGCCCTTCGGGTCCGCGTTCTCCAGGAAAGGTAGAAAAGAAAGGCATCCCCGAGCCTTCCATGTCGCCCTAGGGTAACAAACACCCGGTGAGATGCAAACACGGCTCACTCCGCCACCCAGGCTGAAGCGAGGGCAGAAGCACAGAAGCCAGGCTGTTTTGCCAGGCAGAACCACAACAAGCAAACAGCGAATGGGAGCAGTGTCAGCCGGGAGCCCAGGGCCTAGCCGTCAGCTTGGCCTTTTCTTCACATAGCGAAGCAGTGGGGGGATGTGGTACCCGGGGCACGGCACGCAGGCCTCCACGCTCAGACAGCAGAACAGCAGCCGCCCGGGAGGCACCATTACTGTGCACAGCCAGAACCCCCAGGGGCAGGCCCTTCCCCTCCCCGTATCCCGCCGGAGCAGTGGGGAGGGAAAGGCTCCTCACACACTGGGAGGGACACCGGAGTTCTGCCCCACCACACTGCTGCAGGGCCTGCCAGCTCAAAGCCACTTGGCTAGCGCATTGCAGGTCAGAGTGAGGGGGCTGGGCACAAACGTCAGCCCAGAAAGGGGGTCCTACAAGCAAGAACTGGGATTCCATTAGGGTCCCACTGGAGGATCCAATGCAGGCACCAGAATGGGCAGACAACACGCTCCCCACGGGACCCTGAGTCTGGCCCCCCAGAGCACACAGACAATGTGCCCCCTACAGGATCTGCCAAGTGGGGCCCGCACAGAGCACACTGGCAACGTGCTCCCCACGGGATGCCCCGGGTGGGGCCCCCCAGAGCACACGGGCAACGTGCCCCCAAGGGATGCCCCAGGTGGGGCCTCTGCAGAGAGCACGGGCAATGCTCTTCCCACAGAACCCCCTCAAGTGGGCCCCCCCCAGGGCACATGGGCAACGTGCTCCCTGCAGGACGCCTCAAGTGGGGCCCCCAGAGCACAAGGCAACGTGCTCCCCGTGCAGGATGCCCACTAACTGATGGCAGGAATGGAGTGTTAGGATTTCAATCTGCTTAGCAGCCGTGGCTGGTACTTACAAATCCAACCTCGTAGCCTGGCCCAGGAGGTCCAGCAGGGCCTGGGGGACCTGGTGGTCCTCGTGGTCCCATAGGTCCAGGAAGGCCTGCCAGCCCGGTTTCTCCTGGGGCTCCCGCCAGCCCCATCTCGCCCTTACTGCCCTGCAAGTGGGAACAAAAGGAACCCTGTCACGCAGACAGGCTACGGCCTGAGCTCTGAGGCTGCAGCCAGAGCAATGGGATCTAACAGTCCAGAGCGGAGGGGAGCATTCCCTCCCCCTATGCCCCCCAGCCGAAAGCACAGCGCAAGCAAAGACTGAGCAGCAAATCAGACAAATAAAACAAGCGATCCAAGACCCATGTCAGTTACCAGCACTTCCCAGACAGTCCCAGAACCGCCTACACTGGCAGATTTGATGAGAGAGAGGCAGGCACATTCCGGGTGAACGCACCTTTCAGGGAGGTGAGAAACTCACCCCTGTAGTTAGTGCCAGGTACAGTGAGGGCAGGTTCTGCGTCCTCACTGCTCTGCTGGGGCACCCTTCCCCTGCCCTGCAGCACCCATTCTCCTCTCCTGAGCAGCAACTGCCGGTCCCACCCCCGTATCGCAAGACCAGTGCTCTCTGCAGTGTGGAAAACGTCCCCCAGGGTGCGTTCATGAAACTACCAACCTAATTCTTTCTTAGGAAATGCTGCTCAAAAGCCTGCCGGCTGGAAAGCCAATGAACTGAGTCAAGGTACCTCTCCACACGTACAAGGAAGCAAGGGAACGGCTAGCATCCCTCTACAAGTTACATGTGCAGAGACCCTGCACTGTCTCTCCCAGTACAATTCTGTACGTCCTGGGAACTCAGAGGCATGCCCCTGGCTTAGACAAGCCCACTTCATGCTTTCCTCGTTGGTCAGACAGAGCCACTCGTTGCACTCAGAAGTTTGACTTTGCATGATATTTCCCTCTCTCTATCAGAACATTAAGGGTCATGCAGACGCTGGGCAATACAGAATGAAAATACTGTACGGAAGGAGCAATATTCAACAGAAATTGTGAACTACGTTATCCACGTTATTAACTCCTCAGACAATAATAAAGAAAAGGTCAGCATTTCAAATGCTTTCCTGCTTGCACTGAATAAATGCCTTTACAAGTACCTATAAACCATACATGAAAGAGACCTGCAATTAACCCAGACATGCAATTAACCCAGGGGACGGATGCTTCTCAGGCTTGCTTTGCCTCAGTCTGTAACTACTTTGGGTTCCTACGCTGCCACCAGACTTTTAAATCCAGTAGCTCTTTATATTCAGTAACACACGACACTTCCACTGATCTCATGGAAAAAATTCCAATCAATTTTGTAGCATAAAAAGTGTAATTGGTAACACGTGATCACTCGCCCCCGGCATAAGAGAGGCAACCACACCCCACATGGCTGGGCAGAGTTTGCATGCACTGGACTCAACGTACAAACAAGCTCAAAGAGCACAGATTTGCCATGGATAACCTGACATGCAGAACCACACAGAGCAACTGGATTAAGTGACTTTCCTCCATAGGATTCTCTTATTTTTGACAGCGAGAGCTCTGAGACACATGCGCCTGTCTAAGCCATGCCGTCGGCACGCGTGCACGGAGCCTTTACCTCGAACCTGGTCTCTCCCACAGGTGGGGATGTAGAGTAGTAAGAAAGCAGTTCTAGCAGGTAGGAAGGGATAGGAGGCAGGTTGCTCTGATTAGATGGGAAAAGAGTGAGTGGAGACAGAGAGAAGAGTGATAAGAGAAAAGAAATCATTTCCTATGAGCACTGGTGGAAGAGCAGACGTTACAGCCCCATGGCCTTCCAAAACGACCCTTTGCTGGGAAATGGGCTCAGGAGTTCATATTCCTATCTTCTGTTACATCAGTCCCAGATTCCACCTGGGACCTAGCAACGAGCTCAAACCCAGGAGCCAGCTCCTGCCCTGGCTGGTGTAAATCAATGGAGCTCTGTCAACGTCACGTCTTGATGCCAATGTGCACCAGTTGGGCGCTGGCCCCCAGCGGCTGGCCCCACGTGCTCACGCTGGGCCCTCCCACTACCTCCCCAGAGCAGCGTCCACGTGAGTGGAGCCCAGGCCTCATACCCACCCTGTGCAGAGCGATGCATCTCACCTGCTCCGAACAGCTGGGGACACGGCCTGGAGAACTGAAGATCTAGGCCCTGATTCTTTCCAGCACTCAGGCCCACGTTTAATGGGAAGCCTCGGTGTCTCGCTGCTGTGACTGAGTCACAACGGACACAACGCATGCTCCAGGGCGTTGGGGAATTGCAGCCTCGGCCCAGAGCTTCCGCCCCCTGGTGCTCAGCCAGAAGGGCTTGAGTGGTTTTGTGCCCACAGACCCTCAGGAAGAGCATGTGTGCTTCCAGGCACGTGCTGCCCTCACCCAGCCCAGACATGACATCAGTTATACGTGTGCTCTGGAGAGCGGGACAGAGGAAAGAGGCAGGACAGAACAAAACACCAGCAGCGGGCAGAGGGGAACATGCAGGGAACGGGACCCACAGTGGGTAATCAGGAGACTGAAGGAGCCACTGAATTGGCCAAGGGTAAATGGCCTAAATGCAAAAAGAAAAGGAGGACTTGTGGCACCTTAGAGACTAACCAATTTATTTGAGCATCAGCTTTCGTGAGCTACAGCTCACTTCATCGGATGCATATTGTGGAAAGTGTAGAAGATCTTTTTATACACACAAAGCATGAAAAAATACCTCCCCCCACCACACTCTCCTGCAGGATCTTCTACACTTTCCACAGTATGCATCCGATGAAGTGAGCTGTAGCTCACAAAAGCTTATGCTCAAATAAATTGGTTAGTCTCTAAGGTGCCACAAGTCCTCCTTTTCTTTTTGCGAATACAGACTAACACGGCTGTTACTCTGAAACCGGCCTCAATGCAGGTACCGATCCACTGTATTCACTCCCAATTCAAGTATCGCTGTGCACCGCTCGTCGACGTGGGAATGGTTGTCTCAGGAATGGCAACTGCTGTAAGCTAGTTGGCCAGCACACCTCTTCTTATGTGGATCATCCCCTGGATTTGATTCTGGATTTCTATTTCTAACGGGGCCCCCTATCTACTATTAAAACTCCACGCGCTTGAGCGCCAGGGCCAATTTTGCAGCACTGAAAATTCCCAATTTTCTAAAATTGCATTGAGATCATTCTGCGTGGGACATCCATCAAAAAGTCAGCAGGAATAGCCTTTCCCAATTAGGAAAACTACACTTTGGCTTTCTTGGTGGCTCTAGGCTGTGGCAGTTCTCAGAATAAAATAAAAATCAAGAAGAAGAAGTTAGACAGAGACGAAGCAGCTTGACAGAGAAGCCATAAAGCAAATGGCTTTTGCCATATGGAATTTTGTTAAAGTTTAGATAAAGTTAAGGTCCCATTTCAGTTTAAAGCACAGACGTCCGAAGAGTGACTGTCAGAAGGACGCCCTGCGGGTACGGGGAAGGCCTGACCGTGCGAAGCCTCAGGGCTGCATGGAATTCTGCTCATAAGAGGAGAGTAAAGTTACACAAGCGAGTGTTTGCAGGATCGGGGCCTTATCCCACATCAGTGACTGCACTGAATGCGCTGAGCATATGAGTTAAAAAGTATTTCCACGGGTCACGTTGTAAGCTCAGTCAGGATTGTGACGAGCCCTGAGCCAAACTGCAGACATACATGGGACAGTGTCCTGCACCAAGACCTCCCCCATGCTGATCCGTGGCTGGGAAAGAGCGTTGCTCTCCGACAATCTTGCTGAGATCTGAGGTATCCTTGTATCCTCCTGGCCAGCATGTAACACCTGCTGCTATGCTGGAAGCTGTGCAGCCAGCCATTGATGGGAAAGCTCTTTACTGTAAGGGGGCAGGGTCCCCACTTCACAGGCGGGAAAGGTGAAGCACAGAGTGTTTCCTGGTCAGCGTCACAAACAGATTCAGTGACAGAGCTGGCAACAAGATGGCAGAGCCCCAGCACCATGCTGCCGGCCACCACTCAGGAGACGTGCGAGCGGCACATCGCGGGTCACGTTTCCTGTCTCTTCCTAAACTTAGCCACACGTCACAGGCCTGCCTGTGACACCTGCCATGAGCTCTCCCTTCCACCCACCCTGGCTGGGTACAGCCTGCAATTGAACGAGAGCAGATAGATCCCCAGTGGAATCTGGGTGCTGGTTTCCAAGTCACCTGCACTACAAGGGGCAGAGTAATCTCAGAGCCAGAGAACGGTTCCGGGGGAGGGGAGGTTACTGTACCTTGGGTCCAGGAGCTCCGGGGAGGCCTAGGTCACCTGGGTCCCCCTGGGAACAAGAAGGGAAGGAAGAGTGAATCGTCAGACAGTGCTGCAGGCCAGGACAGAGGGGAGAGCTGTCCAGCCCAGTGGCACACTAGGACAGCTGGGGGGACTGTGTAACCTGTTCACACGCTTCTTTGGAGTCTTTTTGACACAGGGCTGGGGATACAGTATTACCTCACACGGCCTTAGCTACAAGTCTGGGTAGGCTTCCCCCAGGAGAGCTACCACAGCCCTGCACAAGATCCGATCCTGGGCACGCAGGACAGCCGCAAGAGCGACCGGAACAGCTTCCCCCACCAAGAAAGCGACCACAGGTAACGCAGGTCTGATCCCTGATTTCTGGGGGCGCTCGCTCCCCGGTGAGCAGCGTGCGTGGAGCACAAAGTGCACAGACTCCAGCCGGGACAGCGAAGGTGTGGCACGCCGTGAAGGACTGCAGCAGGCTTGCACAGCAGCCTCGCACCGGCTCCGCGCCGCGGCCGCACATCCCACGCTCTGTCCACGAGGGGACGCTGGGAGCAGAGGCCCCGTCCATAGTCCCCAGTCAGCCGTGATCATGCGCTGGGGTACCCTGCTGCAGGTCTGCGCTCTGTGGGCAGGGACAAGGCAGCCTGCGGGGACCAATGTCAGCCCGAGTCAGCGGCTTCCACCAGGCTGCCATCCGCAGCGGGCGTGCTGGGCAGATGCCAGCTGAAGTGGGGGCATATGAGTGGGGTGTGGGCTGCTTTACTTTCCACTCCCTGGTAGCTGCGTTTCCTGCTATGCCTCCTGTCCGGCCCCCTCCGTCCGCCAGTTACATTCGCTCAGCGCACCAGGGGCACGCAAGTTCCCTCCAGCACTTTGCCACCGACCCCTGCTGCAGGCCAGGCTTGCTCCTGAGCTGGGATTTCTTATGACGCAGTATGGTGTGTACCATCGGAGCACCTAGAAGGCCAGGCATGGCCCTGGGTCCCTGTGCGTTAGGCGCTGCACAAACGCAGAGCAAGACCACACAGCTGCGGGCGGCTCACAGACTGCATGCCCTGGCCTGCCCCCAGCCACCGTGGGGATATATCCCATACTTTTCAGTACCCAAGGCAAAGGGTGCTTGTTCTGACTCGAGGCAGGGCTTGGGGCAGGACAGAGCTACCCCAGGCTCTTGCCTGCCCCTAGCCAGCGAGTTACTGCAAAGACTCTGTGGTTCCAGCCCAGGACCCATGAAGAGGGGACACGTACCCGTTCTCCTCGAAGCCCAGGCTGGCCGGCAGACCCATTTTCTCCTGGAGGACCCGCAGGACCCTGCAAAGTTAGAGAGAGGTAATCTCAGTTGGAGGAAACATTTCAGAACTGCCATTTTCATGCTGGTTTATTGCATTAACTCTTTACACGTCAGAGGAAAAGGCCCAGCTGCCCTCAGTGGTACACGGCCACCACGCTGCACACTGACTCTCCGCCCGGGAGTTCCTTTAGCTTTCGATGAGAGTCACTGCACACCGGGCTCCTCTCCAGCCACGCCCCAGCCCGGGACGGGCCATCGCCCCGCAACGGGCTCCTCTCCAGCCACGCCCCAGCCCGGGACGGGCCATCGCCCCGCGCCGGGCTCCTCTCCAGCCACGCCCCAGCCCGGGACGGGCCATCGCCCCCCGCCGGGCTCCTCTCCAGCCACGCCCCAGCCCGGGACGGGCCATCGCCCCCAACGGGCTCCTCTCCAGCCACGCCCAGCCCGACGGCCATCCCCCGCGCCGGGCTCCTCTCCAGCCACGCCCCACCCACGGCCATCGCCCCCGCCGGCTCCTCTCCAGCCACGCCCAGCCCGGGACGGCCATCGCCCCCGCCGGGCTCCTCTCCAGCCACGCCCCAGCCCGGGACGGGCCATCGCCCCGCGCCGGGCTCCTCTCCAGCCACGCCCCAGCCCGGGACGGGCCATCGCCCCCCGCCGGGCTCCTCTCCAGCCACGCCCCAGCCCGGGACGGGCCATCGCCCCGCGCCGGGCTCCTCTCCAGCCACGCCCCAGCCCGGGACGGGCCATCGCCCCGCGCCGGGCTCCTCTCCAGCCACGCCCCAGCCCGGGACGGGCCATCGCCCCGCGCCGGGCTCCTCTCCAGCCACGCCCCAGCCCGGGACGGGCCATCGCCCCCCGCCGGGCTCCTCTCCAGCCACGCCCCAGCCCGGGACGGGCCATCGCCCCGCGCCGGGCTCCTCTCCAGCCACGCCCCAGCCCGGGACGGGCCATCGCCCCGCGCCGGGCTCCTCTCCAGCCACGCCCCAGCCCGGGACGGGCCATCGCCCCGCGCCGGGCTCCTCTCCAGCCACGCCCCAGCCCGGGACGGGCCATCGCCCCCCGCCAGGCTCCTCTCCAGCCACGCCCCAGCCCGGGACGGGCCATCGCCCCGCGCCGGGCTCCTCTCCAGCCACGCCCCAGCCCGGGACGGGCCATCGCCCCGCGCCGGGCTCCTCTCCAGCCACGCCCCAGCCCGGGACGGGCCATCGCCCCGCAACGGGCTCCTCTCCAGCCACGCCCCAGCCCGGGACGGGCCATCGCCCCGCAACGGGCTCCTCTCCAGCCACGCCCCAGCCCGGGACGGGCCATCGCCCCGCGCCGGGCTCCTCTCCAGCCACGCCCCAGCCCGGGACGGGCCATCGCCCCGCGCCGGGCTCCTCTCCAGCCACGCCCCAGCCCGGGACGGGCCATCGCCCCGCGCCGGGCTCCTCTCCAGCCACGCCCCAGCCCGGGCCATCGCCCCGCGCCGGGCTCCTCTCCAGCCACGTCCCAGCCCGGGCCATCGCCCCCCGCCGGGCTCCTCTCCAGCCACGCCCCAGCCCCGGGCCGTCACCCACTCCTAGAGCTGACATGTTTCCTCGGGTGTCTCCATCCACTCTATTGCCCCGCACCCCACATCCTCTGACCACCCAAGCTAAAGGCAGCGCCTGGGTACAGCTGCTGTTCGTGTGCACCAGGTGTCCATTCACCCCGAATTCCGACGAGAAGGCATGCCCCGTGCCCCCCCATGCTCCAGCACCTCCAGCCAGAGCAAGGCCGAAAGGCCCTGGCTCTGGCCCTGCCACGGGAAATGCTGGCGCACTGCCCTTAATGACAGCAAGCACCAGGAGCAGCCCTGGAACACATCGCCATTCCCAGCACATGCTCCCCTCCACACTTACTGGTAGGCCTTTGGCTCCGGGGACGCCAGCTCTGCCTGGCAGGCCGGGGGGTCCTGGCAGCTCAGTGCTGTTCATCCCAAATCTTCCTGGCTCTCCTGGCAGGCCGGGCACCCCAGGAGGTCCGGGGGGCCCTGGTGGGCCTCGGGGGCCCTGAAACAAAGTAAAGGATGTTTGGCTGCATGTGGCCACGTTCTCCCGTGCCTGCGGCACCATCTCCAGACGCCGACTGGTGTCCCTTGGCATGCCACGTCTGGTGCCACTCACCATGGCAGCCTGTAGAATACCACCCAACACCAGGGCTAAGCAAACGAAGCCTTCAAGAGGCAGCTGGAGCAGCCCCCTTCCCTGCGCTTCACCACTCACCCGGAAGCTTTCCAGATCGCCTCCAAACCCAGAGCCTTCCATGTCGATGAACGTCTGGAAGAGAAGCACACGGACACAGACGTGACTCCCATGGCTCCGGGGAGCTGGCACACATTGCCAGCAGGGACTCGGCCCGCTTCTGTGGTGCTGGGGAGTGAAGGGTTCCGTGGGCTGGACCTCGGCCCCCGCTGCTGAACTAGCAGGAAGCACCTCCGGAGCGGCCGAGGGAGTCAGACTGGACGTGGGGAAGAGCAGTTTCTTATCCGCACCAGCCACAGAAAGCAGGGCAGTCTGACTACAGAGGGCAGATACGCCGCCCCACAGGCAGATGCCCAGCACGAGGCTCAGGTGCTGCATGAACCCACTCACAGCAAGGCCTGAGCGGGGCTGAGGAGGTGCCCAGACCTTGGGCTGGCCTCTGCGTAAGGGCCATATCCCCCATGGAAAAGGTGTTGAGCCCTGAGCCCTGCTGCAGCCTCCGTCTGCGGGGCCCGGCCTGCTTTCTCCGGCAGCGCCGAGCGCGTAGCAGAATCCAAGATTCCGATTCCAAAATTCCAGTTTTCTTTCGGTTCCAAATCCGAGTGAAGAACTGACATTGCAAAATCTCTCATGGAACACAATTCAAAAATTTCATTTAGGAAAAGCTGAAATGACATTTAATCAAAACGTTTCATTTCAACTTTATTGACTCAACTTTTCTGCTAGAGTACAGAATCATTTGTAATATATTATAAAAGTGAAACGTTTTGACTGTCATATAATGTATATGATATAATATGATGTGACAGGACAACAATAGTCAAAGCACTTTTATATAATATTATAAATGACAATATAATAGACTTTTATAAATTGGTGATTGGTTTTGGAATGGGTATTGGTAATAATTGGTTTGGTAAATGATCCTTTGTTTACTCCACTCTTATTGTAACTGGTAATTTCCTATTGCAATTAGTAAAACAAAATAGTATAAAAATAAAATTAAAAATAAAATAAATGACAGGACATATTAGACACTGACATGACAGAATAGGCAAAATGTCTCTATTACTTAAGATTGAAACAAAAGATTGTGACCTCACTGAAAGGAATAAACTCATAACTTTTCACTGAAAATTGATGAACCTGGTAAGTTCTGGTGGAAGGGCTGATTTCGTGGGATCGGCATTTCCCAACAAGGAAGCGTCGCGCAGGGAGAACCGTGAGCACCCTTCACACTGCAGAGTGGGGCTGCTCCATTTTACCGCCACACTAACATCACAGCAAGCATCAGCTCTGCCAGCTGCTCAGCGCCATGGCAGGAGCCAGGATCTCTGTGCCCCTCAGCAGGAGGGTCAGAGCCAGGTCCTTGGACCCAATGCCAAAGGGCCCCCCAGGAACGTACCAGCTTGTCCTGTTTGGAAGAGAGGCCCGGTGTCCCGGGCGGCCCGGGCAGTCCAGGGGGGCCTCTTGCGCCGACTCCGGGCTCACCCTAAGCACACAGAAGAGACAACAGAACTTGTAACACGGGCTCTCTGTTACTCCACTGCACATTAGGCACACAAAACAGGGTGGTTCCAAAGAGGTCACGCCTGGAGCCAGAGAGAGCCAGTTAGACCCTCCCTTCATGCCCGCGTGCCAGGAACTCACCTTCTGCCCCTTGAGGCCAGGCTCTCCGGGAGTTCCAGGGAATCCCTGGGGCCCAACGTCACCCTGCAAAGGGAAATAAAGAGACTGATGGGGAGCTAGAGCCAAGGGCCTACTGCATCCCAGAGGGTACACTGGGGGCAGTTCTCTGTCACACGACAGACACAGAGCAATGCGGGACTGGAAGGGGCCTCGAGAGGCCATCTAGTGCAGCCAAGAAAACCCCTGAGACCATCTCATGCAGCTGTTTGTCCAGCCTGTTCTTCAAAACCTCCAGGGATGGGGATTCCTCAGCCCCCCTTGGAAGCCTGTTCCAGAGCTTACCTACCCCAAGAGTCAGATATTAGGAAAAACTTTCTAGCTCTCTCTCCCCTGCTGCTGACGAAGCCCATTACTTCTTGTCCTGCCTTCAGTGGCCGTGGAGAACCACTGTCCACCACCCTTTTTGTAACAGCCCTTAAAGTATTTGACGTCTGTTCTCAGGTCCCCCGCTCCGTCTTCTCCTCTCAAGACGGAACATGCCCAGGTCTTTAAGCTTTCCTCACAGGTCAGGGTTTCCGAACCCTTTTCTCATTTTTGTTGCTGTGCTCCGGACTCTCTCCAACCCGCCCACAGCTTTCCTGACGCGTGGCACCCAGACCTGGACCCAGGACTCCAGCTGAGGCCTTCCCAGTGCCGAGCAGACCGGGACAGTGACCCCCCACGTCTTACACATGCCAGTCCTGTGACTACGCCCCAGAGCGCTGGCCCTTTGCACAGGTGCATTCTAAGCAGTGTTCCTGTAACACCCTGCTCGGCCTGTAGCGAAGCATGCCTGGAGCACTAGGAAGCATGCACTACTCGGCAGGGACTCAGCCAATCCCGGGTTAAGAGAACAGGAGTACTTGTGGCCAGTCCCGTGAGTGTCTGCAGGTGGCACACGCGTACACCAGCACACTGGCAGTGCGAGGGGGAAGCAAACGGTGACACTTACAGGTTTCCCGTCCTCACCAGGATCACCCTAGAGTCAACAGAGATGGAGAGGTGTTAACGAGACAGGTAGATATTCACCACCCGGCCACGCCCTGGGGGATGCGCTGCGCTGCCCTGCCCTGCCCCCTGGCTCCTCGGAGTACTCCCCGTTCTCTCTCACCCAGCACCCTGGGGGCTTTGGTAGGGTTTCAGCAGCACCAGCAAGGGCGCTGGCCTGCTCTGCCTGGCCTCTGTGGCTACTGCCACACTTTGCCCCAGCTCAGCAGCCCCACCCGCGCAGCCTGGTTCAGAATATGTCGAAGCCCCTCTTCTCTCCATGGCACATCTGGGAGGGAGGATGAGCACCCGAGATCACCCCCAGCTCCAAGGCCAAACAGGCAAGGGTGGCTGGGTCTGTGCTGGCCCCAGCAGCTCTGGCAGGTGGCACAACAGGAAACTGGGGTGGTGGGAAGTGCAGGCCTGGAGCAGGGAGGGAGGCAAGAAAGGGAAGCAAGGAGATAGGCAGAGGCAGGGGGCAGCTTGTGGGCACGGAGTGGTAAGGAGAAAGGGGAGCTTTCTAATCCCATTCGGGTGGGACCAGTGGAGAGGGAGAGGAGATGGGGACAGAACGAGGAACAGAGCAGGTGGAGACGGGGGGAAGGCAGGGTCCTGGGCAGCAGGGGACAGATGCAATGCAGCAGGACCCAGCAGATAGCCGGGATGCAAAGGGCCAGGCTGCATGGGGAGGGCCAGGGAGGAGAATGACGAGGCCGCACCACAGGGTCCCAATAGCACTCCGCTGGCATCTCCTGGGGCAGGAAGGCATTTGCTGGCCCCCATCCCAGAGAGCCCAGCAGCCCTCAGCCTGCTCCCCCCGCTTGGCTGGGTTGAAGGTTTACTCACGGGCTCTCCATCCTTGCCAGGGAGGCCATCTTCCCCGGGCAGCCCTGGGGGGCCTGTTGGTCCTGGAGGCCCGGCGACCTGCTCCACCACAGAGCCGTCCAGGCGCTGCACCATAGAGCCAGGGGGCCCAGGCGGGCCAGCGGGGCCGGGAGATCCCTGGGCACCTGGGTCCCCTTTCTGCCCCTTCAAGCCGGGATACCCAAATCCTGCACTTCCCTGGGGATGAAAGGGGAAATTATGAGCCACCAGCCGCATTCCCCAGCCTAGTCCAGGCACTGCCTATGGCCGGGATCCCCAGAGTTCCCTGCTCCCTCACTCTGCACTGATGCTGTGCCCTGGAAATGCCAGACTCTGGCCTTGTGGAGCTGGCTGGGCCCAGCATGGGCCCAAGGGGTGATACAAAATGCCCACCTAGTTCCCTCAGCCAGTCCCACATGGAGAAGTACGACTCACCTCTGGGATTCCCTGGCTTGGCTCTGTCTGCGCACACATGCTGACGCAGGCAGCCCCACAGCCTGGGACATGCAGCCGATCACACTGGACACCAGTGCTCCCAGCCCGCCCAGAGGCTGAACTGGCTGATTTCCCTGCCCCAGCCTCTGTTCTTGGCCTGAGGGCTCCTTGGAGCAGGACACGCCAGGAAGGGGCCTGGTACATAGCAGGCTCTGCTCCTGAGACAATGCCATCACCACCACTATGGTATCGGATACTGCCACAGGCCACGCCAAGCCAGCGATTCCAGTGCTGCAGACAGCGATCCCTGTGACCCAGTCTGCTCCTGAATGCCCAGGGAGGGTTATGAGCTGCGAGCTTGGGCAGCAGGTCTGTTGTGAGACAGCAGCATGCCAGGCACCTGCGGTGGAAAGACAGGTGCTCTGCCCAGCTCTGGCGTCACTCCCAGCTTTCCTCTCCCAGGTCCTGCTGCCCCGAGCGGCCATCAGTGTCTGCTCCCTCTCCTGCTGTGGCCCGGGCTGCCTGCCGGCCAGTCTCACAGGGACTCGCTCAACACGCACATTTGTGGGAGGCAAAGATGCGAGCCAGGACCAAGTCAGGGGAGTGAGGGATGTGTGAGAACTCAGCAAGGCCCCTGGGATTTGGTCCTGGGCGATTGCCTCCGAGGGTCCGACTCGGCAAACGAGGGCCCATGGATTCCTGTGCGAATCTGGGCCTGGCTTCCTGGCCCACTGAGCCTGGGAAGCCAGCAGGTGCTCTGGCCTCTCAGCACCACTCGCCCCCAGGCCTTACAGGGAACATGACTTGTCCAGTCAGTCTCCGCAGCAAGGGAACAGCGTGGACAGCACAGCCCAAGGCTATGCCACGGGCCTGGGCTGACACCCAGCAAGAACGCCAGCCAGCGAGAGTATCTGCCCCTGTCGGTACAGAGCATGGGCCCCCTGCCTGTAACCCCACTTCTGTACAACACCCCGTGGTCACCGTGCTCACCTTAACGCCCAGGTCTCCTTTTTCCCCCTGCAGAATAAAAGAGTGAAGCATCATTGCACCGACAGGTGTCCTTGTTTACCCTGCACCCCCGGCAAGTCACGGCACGCGCTCCCCTGACATCACCCTCAGGGCACACGCGGCTAGACCTGAGCCAGCTGCTTCCTGGAGCAGCACCGTACAAGGGAGTTCAGTGCAATGCAGTCCTCTGGAGCCTGGACATTACCACCCCTAGGAGAGGTAGGGATGTCGGCTTGGCCCCCATGCGCACAGCTGTTGTGAAGGGGCTCGATCCAGCCGTGGGGGTGCTCCTGCCACCCTGCTGACATCAGTGGGTCCTGGAGGCTGTTGGCACCAGGCATGGCTGTCCCCATCACGCTCATCTGACAATGCATGGGGACAGCCTCTGCACACACACTGCTCCCCTAAACACGGGGGATGCGTTCGCGGGAGCCGCTGGGATTTGTCCAGAGCGAGCGTTTGCAGGGCTGGGCTGCTTTGCTCGAGAAGAGAGCTTCTCTTGCCCTAGCCCTGCCAATGCTGTGGCTGCTTCCCACCAGCTGGGCGCCCTGCTATGCCTGAAGGACGTGGGGAGCTGGCCCGCAGTCAGAGCCCGGGAGCAGGGAGGGACTCGCTGCCTGCTCTGGCACAGACCAAGGCCGTGGAACGGGCAGATGGTGAGAAGCGCCTCCCAGCATCACCAGCTGCAGGAGGGGGAACTGTTCAGCTGTGCCTGACGAGCCCTGCCACGCGCCTTTGCCCTTTGTTCCAGGTCATAGCCCTGCCCTTGGCCTCTTCTTCGTTGGCTCTTCCTTACTGCCTGGTTTACTGTCATCGCCCCTTCCCCTCACTGCCAGATCCTCGCCAGCAGTGCCCAGTCTGCCGGGTCTGCTGCACAGCCAGGAGCTGGACACTGTCACGACCGGCTCTCTGCTCTGTTCCCCCTATCAAAGCCAGGCTGTCCCCGCTGAGCCCCACCGCTGCACTGCACACGAGGGGTGCTCGGCAGGCCAGGGGCTCCAGGGACTCTCCCACTGAGGCAGGAGGAAGGGGTGAGTGCGCTGGTGTGTCTGCAGGCGGGAGCCGTGGCGTGGGGAGGTTCGTAATGTGCTTCGGAGCCCGGGGATGAAGCTGCTAGAGAAGCACTAGGTACCACCACTGACCTTGTCACCTTTGGTGCTGCCGGCTGCTAGAACCCCGCCGGTTCCAGAGTCCCCTTTTGGGCCACGTTCACCTCTCTCTCCCGGGGCGCCCTTTTCACCTTTTGGACCAACCCTGGCTGGAGTGAAGAGCCACATACGGTTACAGGGAGGATGCAGGGTCCGGCTGGCCAGTGCTGACCGCTCTGCTCAGGCAGGGCTGGGGTGCGGGACAGCGTGTTGTGCTGAAGACACCCGGGCGTGAGGGCTGGGCAGTCTGGGGCTCTCCGACACTTCCCCACTAATGGGGCTTGCACCAGCTGCCACAGGCACTGACTTTGTCCTTTCCCAGAGGATGCTTGACCCCCACTCCACCCCTTCCCACAAGCCCCCGCCCTGTTCCACCCCTGCCCCGAGCGTGGCTGCCCTCGCTCCTCTCCCTCCCAGCGCCTCCTGCATGCCCGCGGCAGGTGGGAGGCGCTGATAAGGGGGCTGCTGGTGGGTACTAAGCACCCACTGTTGTTTTCCTGTGGGTGCTCCAGCCCTGGAGCACCCACGGAGACAGGGCCTATGCTAGCTGCTGCCCCCAGCTCCCTGACGGCAGAACAGCTGGGGACCCCCGGTGGGGGATCCCTTTCCCCAGGCTGTTCACCTCTCCATCTTTCTAGACAAAGGACTTAGGCCTTGCAATGCTGCATGCAGCAACAACGGAATACCCTTCCAAATCTGGGCCTAACTGATTTAGGAGCCTAGGTCCCATTTTTCAAATGGAGTTGGGCACAATCTCACTAACTGTCAATGGCTCCAATGTGTTCAAAGAGGCAGGCCGCACTGCCTCAGAAAGCGAAATGGAGCACACGCCACGCGTGACGTCACGAGCGCAGCGTTGGGGCTTCCCCACGGAGAGGGAAGCTGAGCTCCCTGCATCAGCCCCAGCCCCACTGGTAGCAGAACAGACAGACAAGGCAGGTAGGCCATGGGAGAAGTCCCTCCCAGGAGGCTCAGCCTGGCGTATCTGAGAGGTGCTGGGTAGGACACCCCCCGACCTGCTCTCGTGGCCCCCCAACCAATCAGCACGGTAACATGGAGGGAGCTCACAGCTTCAGCCAACCACTTTGCAGGGATTTAGCTACTGGCACGTTGAACACCACCCCCAAGCAGCCTGCATGAGCTGCCAGACCCCCAGAGGGCCCCTGCTTCGGGGACGCCACAGAAAACAGTAGCTCCACTTGCCTGTCTCAAGCCAGCTAATCAAGTTTGCGGCATTTCTAGTTTCTACTTGCTCCAGGTCATTTGCAGTTGTTGCCCCTGCTTAACATCTCTGCAGGCTGGGTGGCAAAGGGGCAAATGCTAGTTTTACCTGCTGTAGAAACTTGCTGGGGTCCTTCCACTTGGATTTGCTTGGTTTGCAGCTGAGAGCCCACGCTCACTTTCTCCACTGTCTCCTCAGCGGTGGGGGGAGACGTGACGGGGGGAGGTTCCGGGAGCCGCGACACAGCCGGGGTCCCCTGCGCAAGACCAGAGAGGGGAAGAAGCTTGAATGCCTGAGAAAAGAACTCCCTAATCAGTCAATGCGGCCCAGCCCCCCATGAGGCCCGTCGACTTTCCAGGCTGGACAGTGGCACAATAGGCATTTGCTTCATGGCTTACTGGAGGTGGTTACAAAGAGTAATGGGGAGTTACAGAGTCAGAGATCCCAAGATCAGAAGGGACCGTTGTGATCGTCTAGTCTGACTGCCTGTATCGCCCAGGCCATAGGACTGCTCCGAATTAACTCCTGCTTGTACTAGAGCAGGTCTTGTGGGCAAACACCCAACCCCGATTTAAACATTGCCAGGGATGGAGACTCCACAGCCCAAGTCAGTATTTGTATACGTGCTGCAAAGCAACACTGCATTGTAAAGAGGGTTTAAAAACACAGCGTTCACCACCCAGAAACAAAAACCCCACAGCAGAGCCTTCCCCCGGGCAGGGCCAGGGCAGGCTTGGAAGGAAGAGATGGCCACATTTGTCACTAAAAGGGGACCCATGAGGACACTCATTCTGGCCCCAGAAATGCATATGCACAGTGCACTAAAGACAGGAGAAAGCTCTGAGTGTCCTGGCGAGCCAACAGCCCTGGTTTTCCCCTGAACTTTGTACCAAATGCTGCTGCTGGTGGCCCCGAAGCAGCTGTCCTTATTCCAGCAAAGTGCCAACTGATCACCCTGGGAGTTTTGCCTGAGGACGGACAGCAGGATCAGGTCGGTGTGTAAAGGGAATTCAGAACGGTGCTGTGTACCACACGGGATTGGAAGAGAGCCCAGGAGAAATACTTCTAGCCATTACCCCTGTCCAGTCACTGGATGGCGTCGGCGTTCCGTGTTCAAATGTAAGGCAACAGCACGTTTGCCGTGTCTCACGGGGAGCTTGCAGAAATGTTCCTGTTTTGTGGCTTACCCCTCAACTAAACTTCCAGTGGAGGGAAAGGATCCTGCCTTTTCTCCTGCGTTTGACTTCTCCAATGCAGACAGGACTGATTCCTGCAGGTGTTTCACAGACCCAGAGACAGCTTTCCAGCAGGCCCACTCCTAGTTCTCATCTCATACAGACCAAATTCAACACCCAAAGCACTCTGGGAGCAAACATCAGCGGCGAAGTGGGAAAACAAAGGCTGGGCTGTAGGATGTACCAGTCTTTCAACCCCAGCGGGACCCGCTCTCTGCCCGAGGCCATAGGCATAAGGCCACACCACCAGTTTCCCTGTCCTGTCCTTCTCCCTTCATTCCACTAAGTCATGCAAAGGGGGCAGAGTATATAGCTGGAGACCGCCCAGCACGGGGCACACCTGGCTTCTCCCTGCCCCTCTCTGCAGCCCTCCGCACAGGGTGCATGTCACAGAGGCAAGGCCAGAAGAGACCACGATGGTCATCTAGTCTGACCTGCAGAGCACAGGCTGGAGACCCTCGCCCAGCGACTCCTACACGGTAAGTGGTGGCTAAGCTAGACCAGGGCTCTTAGAACAACATCCAGCCTTGATTTAATGAGTCCAGAGATGGAGAACCCTGGGAAAGCTTCCCAGGTGAATCTCCCTCACTTCCAAAATGGGTACCCGATTTCTGCCCAGCTTCAGCTCCCAACCGCTGATCTGGTTCTCCTTGTGTCTGCTAAAGAGCTGCCGGCCATCACAGATCTCCTCCTAACGTGGGTACATACAAACCACCAGCAAGTCGCTGCTTCACTTCTCTTGGATAAACTAAACAGATGGAGCTCTGTCAGGATCTCACCCTTAGGCAGGTTTTCCAGACCTTGAATCATTCTTGTAGCTCTTTTCTGACCCCTCCCCAATGTTCAATGTCCTTTCTGAAGTATGGAGACCGAACTGGGATTCCAGTGATGGCTTCACCAACGCAGTATGCAGAGGTAATACCAGCTCCTTACCCCGGTTTACTTGTCCAACCTCTCAGTTGGCTTACATGTACAATGGGGGAATAAACACCACCGGCTGCCTTCTAGGCAAGGCTCCATGCACAGCTGAGTGCTCAGGGCTCTCACAAACACCAGTCGAGAGAGGTCAGAGGAGAACTCAGTCTTCTGGCTCCCAGCTGAGGGCAGTCTCCCCTGGGCAGGGTGGGATCTCAGTGAGAGGGAAGTATCTCTCTCACGCCCCGCTCCTCAGAAACGTGGTACCCTCAAGAGCTTTGTCGTTGGCAGGAACTGACCTCTAGCTGCACCACGGTGTGCTGCTGTTCGGACGTACTCTCAAGGGGAGGCCAGCTGTCAGCTGGGGGTGGGGGGAGTATTTAAAACGCCAGCACTCCCACTGCTCTACAGGGAAGCAGCAATGGCCTCCTTGGAACAACGGTGTCCACGGGGGAGGTTACCGTACGCCAGCATCCAGCTAACATTCCCCAGAGTGCCATCTCCTTAGTGAGGCATGCCTGGTGCGCCAGCCAACCTCTGAGGTAGCGAAGCCAGGCACCCTGTCACAGCCTAAGGCCTCACTGCCCTCAGCAGCAAGGAGCCACGCCAATGGAATACTTCACTCATTCCAGTCATCATATCTTCACTGCCTTTAGGCAGATCCTGCAGGAAGGACGCTTGGAAAGGGAGGTTCAGCCAAGCAAAGCCCCCTCTAAAAACGGCTTTGTGGAATTGCAAAATTACTGCCTCTTCACGATCTCCACCTCAGACGTGTTCTGCCTACATGGCCAGAGAGTGCTGTGATTTTCCTTGTGCCACCCCTGCACACCCCCTGGAGCTGGGACACATAAGCCAGGCATCACCACCGGTAGTAAAGCAACGGTGGGCCAGGTCAGGCCCTTAGTGAAAGCCATGCAACCCAGCTGACCTCAAATCAAGCTTTCACTGACATCCGGTGCTGTGGAACGGCAGTAGTTTGGCACAGCTTTCACTGATTGGAACTTAAACAATTCTTTGGCCGCACGAGACAACACCCAATCTGCTCTGTCTCCCGCAGCTGTGCTGTCTCTGCAGGGCGACGGGAATACAAACAGCAGGGTTTGGTAGGTCGGCACAGAGCCGCTTGCGGAGAGAGTCAGCAGAGAGCTGCGGCACTGGGGCCAGAGTTACGGACGTTCTGTCGGAGAGGCTCCGCAAGCCAGGTCTGACAAACGACGAACGCGAGCGCTGCCAACACTCAACCGCAGAGCACACCACGAGCAGGAAACGCCAAGTCCTTTGCAAATCCACCCTCCTCTGCTGCTCCAAAGCGTTAGCACACTGCATCGTCCCCCCTGCCCTCCAAACCCATCCTTCAGAACCCGGACGCACTGTTTGGATTGAAATCTGAACTCGTGACGATAAAAAGGCAAATTTCCAGGTGCTAATGCACATCCGGAGGAAAGAGAAGGCTTAACAATTCTCTGGACTCTTGGTCTGATTTTCTGAAGGGTTTAGTGCTAATCAAAATCTGGTCTTGAGAACTGAAATTTCAAGGCATAATGGGCTTTATGGTAATTCAGGGGTGAATCATGCTGCCACGGCAGCAAGACAAGGCAATTGTACACCCTACTTTCCTGGGCAGGTCGTACAGTAACTGTACCACATACGTTACAGATGCTTTCCCATTACAACCCCGTGGATCAGGCCGATGGCTGCTAAGAGAAGGTGTGTGTTTTTGCAATCCGTACAAACTCCTAAAACAGCCTGGAGGCTCGGGGCAACCGCAGAGAACAGCAGCAGGTGTGGGCTTTCTATTGCAGCCATACAGCAGCAGGTATCATGCAGGGGAGGGATTAGACATTAGCCTGAATAGACGGCCAATTCCTAGCCCAGGGAGTTAACACTGCAAGCCTTCGGGGAGTCTGGTTCAAAGGAAAGCTCTAATTCAGTTACCAGTCTCTTCCGATTCTCCGCCAGTTTTCAGATTCCCAGTTGGCTTTTGTTCCAGATGCACTAGTTAAAAAGTGTGATACAACCTGACTTACAGGCACGGAACTGCTCTGTGGCTCAGTGCATCAGGGGGACGTGATCAGGACAGCTGGCACGATCCAGGGTAAAGCACCGTGCTGTTCGCACCTTTCCCAATGGTTTCACTGATGGCACAAGATCGAGAGGGGGGACCAGCCACAGGATAAAGGCTGTGGCCCAGGAGCACAGCACAAGAAACATAAGTTTATGTCAACAAAGCTTTTACTTCCTGCACTCTGGGCTGGCTGGAAAGGGAGAAATCAGGACCCCAAGCCATTACTCGTCTTAACCTAGGAAGATCAACCATTCATTGGCAGAATGACTGTCAACTCCCCCCGGCTCTCTGCTGCCCACTGCAGCAGTAAGGATAACTGTGAAGGAGGCAGAGAAGGCCCCACAGAAAGAGCCCCCGTCCCTCTGCCTGCTCGTGTGGTGTTTAGCCATTTGATGGGGCCTGTACCTGGATGGGAAAAGCAAGGCCAAGCCGGAAAGGACTGCTCTTGGGCCCACGGCCTCAGACTCACCCGCTCCCTTCCTGATAGGTGGGGCCTTTCTTCAACTCCACTTCCAAAATCTCCAGACGCCTACATTGTTCCAAGGGAGGGGGGAGAGAGAGAGGGAGACATGGTCAGCAGACAACGTATCCAGCATACCTGAGCATTCTGATCAGGGTACTCGACAGCGCTGGCTGCTTCGCACCCAGGCCCCGCATTCTCCTGTGGTAAGTGTGCGTCTCAAACCGCCTTTGATCACCTAGCAATGAGATCCTTCTCCTGGGTGCTGAGTATTCACATTTCTGCCTGCCCTGAGATTCACTTTGGGCCCACGCTGATTCTAACAAGGACTTATAAGCCCAAAGAGTCAGCTGGTCCCACCAGTGGCAACAGGCCGTTCGCTAACATGACTCAATAAAAAAACCAAAAGGGGAAATCCTGACTCCATAGAAGTCAATGGGAGTTTTGCAAATAAATCACTGGGGCCAGGATTTCACCCTGGTTCAGTGCACAGAGGAGGCTTTGGCTAGGAACTAAAATTCACAATGATCACTTGACACTAGTAGCTAGTTAGCCTGTTTCCTCCATCGTGGCAAGCCTCAGCGCCCAGGGGAGCAGTTGGAGAAGACACACCCCATTAGCAATGGCAGGAGGCAATACCACCACCTGGAGTCTAGTCTTCCATGAAATTCCTGGACAAACCCCCATCCATCAAGCACTGGGGCGGGGCAGATCTCCTGTGCTACCATCTGACCTGTTGAGGGATTGGGGGGACGACAAAGAGAGAAGGATGAGTGCCCATGGGAGATCCTTTCTGCACTGCACTGCCCGCTCTCCCCACCCACCTTGGGTGTTGCCATTTCACAACAGCAGTTGTGTCTGGTATGGCAGGAGCCTGGGCGGAAGAGAGATGTCACACAAAACCACACAACCAAAGACCAAAACCACACAACATAACCTATATGTTTTTAAAGCTCATGTTGGGGCCAATCTCATGATTTGTTGGGGTCAGGCTCATGCTTTTTGGACATTTCGGAAAGGTGATCCTGTGTGGTAAATTGCATATTAACTTCCAGCAAGCAATCTGCTGACAGCTGGAACCACGGTAAGTTCTACACCCCCCTGTGTAAGCAAACCACAGCTATAACACCGAGCCATGGCAGACAGCACTCACCACATCCGAATCCTCGTCCTGTTCCTCACACTGGAGATCAGCTGCTTGGCGATCACCTGTCACTTTCAGATCTGCAATCACCCCCTGTAAAACACATACCAGCAATCACCACCAGCAAACAATCATGGGTAGCTTGCGGGAGAGTGTGTTATCAGAATCCGTTGCCACTTGGCAGTGGCCATCCCCCTGTTAGCTGACTGGCTGGTGGGAAAGGTTCACAGTGTGAATTGCCGGTAAAGACAACCAAACGCAGCTCCCATTTCAATTGGGATCAAGTCCAGGGAATCGGATTGCCATTCTCCTGCACTGATGTATTCCCAGGGTAAGTGAATCAGAGCCTGTGCTTAATCACAGTGGCTTGCTAACTTCTTAAACCAGGGTCAACACAGCTACTGCACCCACCAACAACTTCTGGGTTTAATTGCGCCGTTTCTCAGGAGTTCTGTGGTGTGAATTCCAAACGCTTCTCACTAACGCTCAGTGCCAAAGCTTTGGGGGAAGGACGGAATGAGCCCACCCTCTCCAACCACTGAACAGTCACCGCCTCCTCTCTGCACTGCGTGGGCCGCAGCAGAACCAGCTCTTCACGTTCTCATGGGCACTGGAAGGGTCATGCTCTACGCACACAATATGCAATGAGGTGGCTGACTCTTGAATTGCATTCTCCCTAATTTAAGAAGTCAGCAAACTGCTGTGATGAAGCACAATTAGCCTGGGAATATATGAAGCCTGCTTGCACACAAATCCAATTTGCCACAAAGTCTTCTGTTATGTAACTGGCAAGCAGTTAAAGGATTTATTCACCTTGCTTGAAATAATTTTTCCTCACCGCTGTGACCCATCTCACCACAACAGATTCTGAATTTGCCAGCCCCATATTAACCTCCAAAAAAGGAACAGCCGAGTCCCGCCGATTTTCTGAAGGGTTTAGTGCTAATCAAATGCAACTTTAAGGGCTTGCCTCATATCCACAAAAACCGGATATGGGGTTCATACCGGTTTTAGGGCCACGGTTTACTCAGCTTCCAGACTTTAATGATTATCCAGGGCCATGTGGTTGGTTGGGGCTCTTCCTTGGGACTCCACACACCAGGCCAGGGCCAGATTAATGGCATGGCGGAGGGGTGGCCTGGCCAACCCTGAGTGGTGCTGTGATACCATGGGCCAGGTTGCAACAACCACAGTGGGGGGACCAGGCCCAGCCCCGCAGGAAAGGATCCGCCACCACAGGGTTAATGCAGAGTGGGATCGCTCTCCAACACCCGCCTCCCCACCCTCAGGACTCCGCTCTGCACCAGGCCGGGGGAAGGGCACGTTGGCCTTGGACCGGTCATGGGTTATTCCGGACCTGCCAGGACAAACCAATGCAAACTAGAGCTGAGCTGTCTTACCCAGCCAGAGCTGGGTGTGAGCACGCAAGGGCTCTGCATCCACACATCAGCTTGCCACGGGGAGCCTTAGGACTGACTCACTTCAATTTCTTCATCCTCAGAGCTGGAAAAAGGCTCCCTCAGTCCTGTCTCTCTAAACAAACAGCTACATCCTAGTGCTCGTTTGATACTGGCCTCCATTTGTGTTTCTTAACATAACCCACACTTCCTTCCCATTTATTTAGTTTTAACAACTACTGTATACAGGCAAAGCCCAGATTTATACAACTCAGGACAAACAACTCTGCTCCAAAAAGCCACTCCTGGATGATCACCCAGCACCAGACCCCACCCGGCAGAGAGTTCAGCGATCTGTCTTCCAGCCACAAGGCTGAATTACATCACTGCACAATAGCTCGGAACGCCTTGGTCTCCGCTAGGAGAAGATACTGACTGATGATCCACAAACAAGAAGTCACTGAACACCTCCTATACAGGATTTATTAGTATTTGCCAGATGATTGATCTCCATTACATAACATATGTTCTCCTTTGTTCACTCTGGAAGTTGTCTCTCCCCACTCAGGAAAGGCCATAAGTGTCTTCAAAACGCACTGCAGAGCTGGCTGAATTAACCAACAGTCACCCAGCACAGTAGTGTAAAATGTTGCCAACTCATTTATTAAATGACTATCCAAAGAGCTCCAGCTGCAGGGCACAACCCCAGTACAAGGTGACTATTTCTGACCCACAACTCTTCTGGATGGAAGTGCTCTGATCTGACAGATGAAGAGAATGAAAGATGCTCTGGCTTGCGGTGAAGAGCAGGTACAGAATGTCACTACATGGTGTGTAAGAGAGCTGCAAGGACAGCAGAGAGCTCTTTACACAGGCTGGTCTCATGCCCCGTGCTGTACGTGTGTGTTTAACACACACACACTTATGGAATACATGTTTCAATAATGCCATCTGAAGTCCTGATTCTGACACACCAAAGTCACTGGGACAACTCCAGCTGACCTAGTCTGGGTGCAGGAGTGAGCCCTTCGTTTGCACAAACGGGCCATTTGAAAAGAGACGACTAGAAACCACGCTGCCTGGTTGCTGCTAAGGCCCCAAATGGGCCCTCGTTTTCCCTTGCAGGGAAGCCTTGCAGCTGTGAGATCAATGGTGCTCCCCTGCAATGCAGGGACTGAGCTGCAGGATCGGGGTAAGGAGGGGAGGGGTTTTGGGATGGGGGTCTGCCGGGGATGGCGAGGGGTGGTAAGGGCCGGAGCAGGGAGGACTAAGAGATGTATTTGGTTACATGAGCCTTCTTGCTACCCCACCCCACCTGCAGTGGGGACCTGCCCTGCCACCATGGCACCCCACCATGCCCAACCCTGCCCGCGACCCCACCATGTCCCAACCACAGTGAAGCCCTGCCCTGCCTGCCATGCGACCCCACCATGCCCCGCCGTGCCCGCAGTGACACCCTGCCTGCCCTGACACCCCAAGAAGTCCCGCCAAGCCCTGCCCTGCCGCCAGGACACCCACCATGCCCCGCCCTGCCTGCAGCGATGCCCTGCCCACCATGGCACCCCACCATGTCCGGCCTTGCCCCCATGACACCCCAACATGCCGCACCCTGCCCTGCCACCATGGCACCCCAACATGCCCCGCCCGCAGTAACGCCCCACAATGCTCCGTCATGCCTGCTGCCATCGACATCCCACTCTGGCAGACACCCCACATCCTGCACCCGCAGTGACCCCACCCCACGCCTGGACATGCAGTGACCCCGTGCCCTGACCCGCCCCCGCAGTGACACCATGCTCGCTAGCTAGCTCATGAAACTGAAGTAATTTATTTGTAAGCCTTAAAACGGGTAATTGTGAAAACAAGCAACCTCAGACCATTCTGCAGCCTCCTCCTCAGCTTGGTGCCATCTCTCCTTGGGCCAGAGTCTGCTCTTAGTGACTGGGAAAAATCCATATAAATTTCACAGGGGGAAGTGAAAGCAGGCCCCGATCCTCAACCCCTTCCCCTCCTTCTGGCAGAGTCTGACGCCAGGGATTGTGGGAGTGCGATATGTAAATGGTAAACGAAACACTAGAACAATCACACCAATACAGAAATCAGAATGAAGTCAGCCCTTCAGCAGTGTGTGTCAGAGATCTCTGCGCAGAGCTCCTCTGGTGGAAATGCCCCCTTTTTTCTCCCCTAATCCTCACCATAATGCACTCGCACGCCAGGCGCACTTGTTCCCGCTGAGGTTTGACATCCACAAAAGGCAGGCAGGAAATTGGGACCTGTGGTTCCCCGGGAGAGCTGGGGGTCCATTTCTGTGTCTTGGGCCTGAGACCACAGGTAAAAATATGGCCCCTTAGCCTGCCTGGGCAGGAAGTGAGAATCAGCTCCCAGGCCCTAGAGATAGCCTGCAGTACCAATGCAAACGGACAGCGGAAGAGATGAATGCCCATGCCCCACTGCCCTGGGCAGAGACCAACTGGTCAGAGCACTTCTAGCCTGCCCTGGTGACACACAAACCAAGCAGAGCTCAAAGGAAAATGGAAACATTTGATGCAATATTGGGGCAGATCACCATGGCTCCACTGACGACAATTTACACCAGCTGAGGATCTGCCCCATTGGGCCCAGAGCTCCTCTGTCTTGCTAGATGCTGCCCAGGGCCTTCCTTGGCTCATCTAGCCTATAGGTACACAACTGGTGGAATTCGACTTCTGGATTAACACAGCGGGCCTCCGCTCAGCTTCGCCGCTCTCCCTCCAGTGCACAAATGCACATTCCGAGATTCCAAGGCCAGAAGGCGCCATTGTGATCATCTCGTCTGACCTCCTGCACAGCACAGGCCAGAGACCTGCCCCACAGTCACACAGCAGATTGTTTAGAAGAATATCCAGTCTGGATTTAGAAAGCACCACAACCCCTGGGAAATTATTTCCATGGTTAATTACGGTCACTGTTCTACATTGATACCTTATTTCCAGTCTGAACTTGTCTGGCTTCAACTTCCAGCCATTGAATTGTGCTGTACATTTCTGTGCTAGACGGAAGAGCCAATTATCAAATATTTGTTCCCCATGCAGGTGCTTATAGACTGGAATCAAGTCACCCCTTCACCTCCTCTTCGCTACGCTCAATAGACCGAGCTCCGTGAGTCTCACTATCAGGCCTGTTTTCAGTGCCCGCGAAGAAGGAACTCCAGCTGCAGGACGCAAACTTGAGGCCAGACTTTCGTTCATGTTCAAAGGCATTAAAATGAGCGCTGTGTCTGGCACTGAAATCCCCCAGCCCCTGGGAATGGGCTGCGACGCAGTTGCTGTGGGAAGCATGATGATGCACGGCCTCCTTGTAAAACTCACAGCCAGGCTGGCATTTCCTTAGCCAGGCTGCCAATCTTTTGTTCCTGAAAGGACACACAGGAGCATAAACCCCTCCCTCACCAGCTTCCAGGCCATCTCTGAATCCACTCTGAAGCACGGGCACCTATCTAGGAGGCTCTTTCTGTGGTTGGTTTAAGAACCTCTCTCAGCTGGCTCTATCCTACCTGGCTGCCTCCGGGCAAGGAAGGGGGAACTCAGAACAATTCTCATACCCCTGTAGCACTCTGCTCTAGGCGTCCCTTTGCCCTGCCCCAGCCAGTCACTGAGGAGAGAATCGGAGCCCGCACAGCCGCACGCATGCAGCCCTCTGCGTTAGGGACATGTGTGC